TAGCCTGTGTCCCAGATATATCATGTATTGCAAGATTACCTTGTGTTTTTAAAGTATTTAAGTTAGTATCAATATTTACATTATATACATCTTTTGAATTTGTCATTAACCTTATATACATCTTTTGAACTGTCAAAAGTACTAATTGCACTATTAAGTGGGAGACTGTCAGCAAGTAAATGTACATCACACTGAGTATTTAAAACTTGGCACTGTGCCAGGTTTTGGTAGGGTTTACAGCCTGTGCATATGCTGTGGGACGTTTTCCATTCATGATGGAGAGCATAGCATCTACAAGTCGGCTACGGTCAGTAGGGTTGAAGTGGAGTCTGTCGTTAAAAAGGACACTCATACAGGGATTGTCAACAGTAGAATTATTTACTGCATTGATGTCCACAAACCCATGTCCTTTTCTTGTACAAAAGGAACGCATTTCCTTGTTAACATAGTCTATCTTGGTATTCCATTCTGCTACTATTTTAGGGTTGTCACTATCACCACGATGATGTATTCCACATAGGATAAGTTTAGTTTGTGGATGCTTATTGCTAGCTGTCAGTAACAGATTTTTTAGTTCATAAACCATGTCTTGTGGGTCATCTGTTTTGACATTGTTTGTGCCAAATCCAAGAAACTTGAAATCTGTTGACTGCTTAAGGTCTCCTTGTTGCATACTCTTTGTCGCAAAATCTATTGTACAACCACTGTAGATTGAGCCAGTGACAGATATGTTCTGGGGCGATTTCCGCTTCATTGATTCAGTTAGCTTCTTTCCATTACTGTCATACATTATATGTACTGAGGGCATTGGAGGGGCCTCTGTTAGTATGTTGCTTGTACGTGTAAACTGGCCAGGGCTAGGTTTAGTAGAAGGGGCTCGATTCTGCTCATCTGGATATGTGTTTCTGGGACTGGTGCGGTTCACTTTAGTAGGAGTGGCTCGGTTCGGTTTAGGCAAATGAGTATTTTTAGGACTGGTGCGGTTCAAGGATGAGTTTGATGATGTAGACTCAGTAGATGAATGAGGCCTAGGGCTGCGGTGTTGGTCTTTAATATGGTTAATGATGCTCTGAGGGGCACTGCAACTAACTGTTTCACTTTCTACTTGCTTCAGCAGAGAATTCACTTTACGATATAGGGTCTCATTGTCTGTTATAATAATTTACATTTTATATGTCACTGCATAGTCCAATAAAGTCATCTCCGAATTCCAAGGTTGTTATACCATACTATGAGTACTAATATTCTTTGGGGTTTTAAGCGTCGTGTCTCGTCTTTACCAGCGCCATTCGAAATTGGTTCGATCGCTAATCATAGGGGTGTTATAATTATAACACAGTTGGACCAACTGAAACCTTGTAAATCGAGATGCAATAATGTAAAGCAAGAAACTATAGCATTGTAAACCATCTCGTTGTGGTCCGGTCGCATTTAGCACAAAAAGAACTATCATCAGAACATTGATCAACATTGAATGATCGCGTGATAGAGATCAATGCAGTCTCCGAGCCTTTCGTCCAGTGCCATCCGTACCTCCTGTGCCTTAGTGAAGGTACGCAACGAACGAAATGAATTTTGAGAATGAGATCAATGCTCTAATATTTCGGGACTTGTGCATGGTGCATTGTCACAGGAGGTTTGATTGAAACTCCTGTGTCATTTTCTCTGTTTGACGTGTTTCTATCCAATCCTGAACTGGAATGTTCAGAGAAACTCAACTTTGATTTCCTTATGCAGAGGATAGACTTCATTTGTGTTATGCAAGCGTCTTTCAGGGGCTTGTTTAACCAGAAGTACAAAATGACGTTAATCAAGAGTGGGATTCGAAACATCACCACGGAGGCGTAGTGTACATCCAGTACTTTAACACTTGGGATTGTTGTTAACAGACGCAGGACTCCTGGTAGTATATAAAACAGCGCAAAAACTATAAAAATTGAGAAAGTTGTCTTTGTCAATATTTCATCAGTCTTATTCGGCATTGGTTGATTTTTCGCAAATTTGTTTTGATACACTCTATTCTTAGATTGTCTGACTTTTACTAAAATATGGATAGCAGTAAATCGTCAGGACGATTGTTGGCACGTACATAACATATATCCTTAGTCTAGTATTATTTTCTTCTTGTACAATGTCAGTCAAGGAGCACTGAAACAAGTCCATGTCAAATCTGACAATAGTAACGCTAGGCGTCCTCAAAATCATTGTTGGAATCATTATGAGTACTGGTGATAGTAATATCACTACAAACATGCCAATTCTAAGGAAAGTTTTGTTCAACTTTTGGAATGTATTAGGAAAGACCACGGTCAAATATCTATAAATTGCATTACAAAGAATACACAATACAGAAGCGGTTACTCCCCACGTAGATACAAATGTTTCCATAATGCAAGCTAAGTATCCAGGGTCCTTCAATGAGATTATATTCCGAACTTCAACCGGTAAAACAATGAAACAAATTAAAGCGTCTATTGCGCATTGTGTTCCAATCAAGACGTAACAGAAATTCGATCTGTATTTTTTGTAGCTCAGAATGGTTTTCGCTGTTAGTATATTTCCCAAACCTGGAAATAGAAAAAATATGATAACAATGCATGTATGGCTGCCAGTCGGAAACCTTTACATAAGAGGCAGGTCACAATGTACTTAATGTAATGACATTTTTATGCGACATGCGTTGCCCGGCCCGCAAATATTCTAGAAGGTCTGTGCACGAAATTCAAGCAATCCCAATATCAGATCTCCAATATCTCGTCCATTTACATCATTCGGCTTGTCTCTTAATTAGTTGTTAAAAAGATATAAATGCTTAAACACTTTCAATAAATTTTTTTCGTTGATATTTGGGCCGATATATTAAAAATCTGGGTTTGCAGTTTTGTCTAATATTCCATGACCTCAGAAATCCATAGTTATTTGAAGAACAAGTTAGTACGTAACTATTTCGGAATATACAAAACTGTCGTTGACATATATTTTTAAATTAGATAAATCGATGCTTTTCAATTTATCTTATTATAGTGTGTGAAATTCAATTGAATTTTAAATAAACTACTTTGTATGGTTTCATTTACACCAGAAAAGAATTTCTCATTCATTAATTTATATTCGTTGGGCCTATTTTTCATTATTTGAATTAACTTACCTCCTATAAGAATGACGGAAATTAAAATAAATGACGATGTGATTATTAGTTCTGTCGAAGGAGTTTCTCTTTCAGTTACGTTCATTGAAGTATTGTCACTCACTGTTGATTCCATTTCTTTATTTTTATCATCAAATATTTTGGAGATAATTTCGATGATATCACCTTACTGTGATCCTGCGAACGTATTTAGAGTACTATAAACAACACTGACTTGCGAACTTATTCTGTCCGTTTCTGATGGCCTTTAATTTAGTATATCACTCTGATCATTAATTATGCACACGTGCGCATAGTAACAAAAAATAGCTAATACAAGGCAGTTTACAACCATCAATTGTGGAGTCGGTGTTTCAAATGTTTGCTACTCTAAAATATGAATTATACGAGTTCGACCGAGTGTTGTTTTTGAAAAATATGAGTTACACCAATCATATAACTCATCCACCATCATCAGATCTGTACTATCGTTTCACTTTCATTTCCACTACGTGCGTGTCCACTTAACTTATTCATTCCCCATTGCCATGGATCCAACAATCATCTTTTTGATAACTGACACCTGAATCTGATTGTTATCAGCTGTTATTACTGTGAATTCCTTGGTGAGCTTTTTGTAATTAATACAATGGAAACTGCTTATTTATTCAGCAGTTTCAATTGATATTTGATATGTAGATACCTATTTTTAGTTATAAATAATTGATCTGTCCAGACTCCAGAGACTGATCAAATGCTTTTATCACGATTTCGTTTAGCAATTGTTTCCAGTTGCGTTTTATAAGGATTGTTAGGTCCTGAGGTTGTTACTGACAAAGGTGAAAATATGTAATCAAAGTCATACAAAAATAAATAAAATCATATTCTGCCCATATAGCTCTGCGTCTAGAATTCTGTGATAAGCGCAGTACGCGGGGAAGTACGCCTACGGGATGTGTGTAAGATAGACGTCCTTGGTAAGATACACTCGGGACAATATAGTAGTACCCACATGGTCGTCACTGGATTGTGTTTATCCATGAAAATGATGTGGCTTTAGAATTTAGTTTATCGTTATCAGAGGCAACTTGGCCGAGGGGCTTAGGAACTTAGGAATACCCAATACGTCATTGTCTTGCCAACATTTTAACAGAAAATAGATCAATAGAAACTGTGAAGATGCATTCTGATTAATCAGAGTCTCTCTTCATCTATAAAGTTTGTTAGAGTCCAATGGATAGTAAAGAGACTGGATCCCAGAATGGATGACCTAAGCCCGGGGACCCAAGTCGAATCGATGTAGTTTTGTATCGCCTCAACCTAGGATCCCGGTGTAAAAGGGTAGGAGGTCCTATCAAATTATGGTCCTACTTTCCATTGATTTATATGGTGACCTAAATACAACTCTTTCCCTTATTATCGTATCCACAATCAGAGCCAGTAATGTCCTTTAAGAAAGGGGACCATAATCCCCAGGGGACCATAATTTCTTTTACACCGGGCCTAAGATGGACTAATTTTAACCCCACGTCTAATTTCAGATTGTGGCTGCAGCCCTGGCCACGTGTGGATGAGAGTCTGATGGAGTTAATTGTCTTTTTGAACCTTTTTTATTGGCCCGCTAGACGGGCTCAGTAGATTTTTATAGACTCCCCTCCTGTTCCTTTTTACCCTTTACATCCATTCGCTTCTTAAAATAGAGCTTCGTCTGGTTTATAAACATTAAAGGGGCCCTATTAATTTATTAATGGTAAAACCCGAAAGCTTCCCGGGGAAAGCACCTGCCTAGCCTGCGTCCTGTCGTAATATTTTCCCGCTAAAATTACGAATATTCGTTATGGTCATCAATGATAAAACATTTCAAAGTGACGAGTATATATACTACTGTTTATCACTAATACATATAATTTGCAATTTTTTATGCAAGAAAATGAGATAAACCAAGTAAATACGTAAATGAGATTTGCTTAGTAACGACATGGATACAAAATGGCGGAACCTCGAAATTTGAAAAAATAAAATATTTCAATTTTAGCCTGCTATTTAGTGAACAGGTTGGTGTATTTATAAAGTCTTCAGTTAAAAGGATTCTATGTTTATGATTTGATATCCTGAGGTGGTAAATAGTTTAGAAATGAGCCTAATCGTAGTTTTTTCTCCTCATTGGAAATATGTCTCAATTTTTTTTGTCGATGATCATCGATGATGATTTTATACGCCTGTATCTTTGGATTCCATTAATCACTGCAAAATGGTTAAATTCAATGTAAGAGAAAGGGAGACAAAGTGCATGCTGAAAGAGACATCGTGCACTCTTTCTTAGAAGAAGAAGTAGTAATACAGATGTCGACTCGCTATTTTATACATGTTCCCGGGGCCTATGCTTTCATGCCTTTTATATTTGAAAAATCACAGCAGATTTCTTTTCTTGCGCTGTTTCAATTCGATCTTCACCAGGGTTTATTTTGAAACTTGACCAGAACCTGGATGTAAATAAAATTACATCATATTTTTCTGAATTGAGTAGCCTGAGCAGGAGGCTAAGGTTTATTCTCTGACTGATTCCATAATTATCCAAGTAGCTATTTCTTCATTTTCATCTCGTTAAAAGCTCAAGAATTTACGGATGTCTTATACCTGTAGCATGGGCTTTCAAGTTGAAAGCCCATGCCTGTAGTCACCTCTAATTTTTGTTTCTTGCCGCGATTTTTTCACAGAATGAATTTACTTGTTGGGTATCAGTGGCGGATACAGGGGGGTGCGCGCGGGACGCGCCCCCCCCCCCCCCCCCCCCCCCTAAAATCCGGCGTAGACAATTATTTAGTTCTAATGTAATTTGAATAACACTTGCATATTGTATTTATAGTGGGGATTATCGTTCTTTTTATTTTCAGATTGTATGAATTGTATATTGAATGTTAAATACTAGTAACCTTTGATGATCGTGTTCTTCAATTTTAAACAAATACATGTATATTTTAATGCTGATGTCTGGAAGCCGCTAGAGACTCAATCAATTTGCACGTATTCAAGTACGACAATAATACCAATGGAGATTTGGCAAAAGTATATGACACCGAAAACGTGAAAACTATACAGTGGCGAAGGTGTAAATTCAAAACTACGCAAATCAATATGTTACTAATTTCATAATTGCAAAACGACAGTTTTGATAGTTATTATAATAGATGCTACCCATGCTTCAATGTTAAAACATTGTTAACATTTTAAATAATGTAGCCTCTGATAAAAAATCAACGCACTGCTTGAAAACGATGATCTTTTGGGGATCTTTGACATCGCATTCATTTCCTGATGAAATATAGAGATTGTTTTATTTCTCGGACGCTTTTCACTTTGGTGAAACAATTAATTTTTCAGATAACTATGCAATATTAGCCTTTTAATCATTATTGGTATCATTAAACTTTGTACAGACTTTTTGAATCATGGAAATGCGGGGCATACGTAGCATGTTATTCAAAAAGTATTCGATAGAATCAGACGATGTGAACATCACTTCGTACAAATGAGGATGGAGATAAAAGTATAGTCATTCGATTTAAATTTTAAAAAGTTATCAATTACAAGTATATCACACGTTATCATATGTGTTTGGGATGTTCACGGTTTAATCAAGAAATGGTAGATTTTACCGAAGGTTGATGAAAATAATTTTACCAAAAAACAATATGTTTGTCGTTATCTAAGAAATATATATAATAGTATACTAATGTATTTTCTAATTTCAAAAATGCCCAGATTGCAACAAAAAGCATTCAAACTTTTGAAATTTCCGCCCCCCCCCCCTATTAGTCATTCTGTGACCTCTTTCGTCATCTACCGGCCACGAAAAATTCAATAATCAAGGCGCACCCCCTAACCTGAAATCCTGGATCCGCCCCTGGGTATGATTCAAAAACCTACATGTTTGAAGCCTGCATGTGAGAGCAATAACTATAGCAATAACTTAGATAAGCATATACATTTTTTCCAGGATGAGTAACTTTTCGGGAAGTGGGCATTCCAGCCCCCACAGATTCAATGAGCCACCAATGTTCTTACAACGGCCGTCCTCAGGACGATCTCAGGATGTTTCTCATGTGCTAGCTAAAACATTTAGAGAATGGTTTACAAGGGACACAGTTAGTGAAGACACTGTGAATAATTTAAACATATCTAAAGCTGGTGATGATCCATATCATGACAGATATGTGCAAGCATTGAGAAAGGTACAAGAGGAAAGAGATAGGCGTATTGCTAAAGTGGCCATGCTTGAGAGACACATTATGCAGGCTCAGGCTCGTGCCATGTCAGCTGATGAACGAGAGATGAACAGGGTAGCATCAGCTCATACCCGATATCCAGATCTTGGTCTCCCTCCAACAAGATCACATTTTAGGTAAGGAGGATGGTTGTCATCAACTTTCATTGTCGTTGATCATTAATACTTGTGTTCATGTTTTACCATAAGTGACACACTCTTGATCCCGTCTTTGACAATTATATCATAATTTCACTGTTATATTCTCATTTATTCCAAATAGATTTATAACCCCATAATTACTTGTTTATATTTTTATACATTTATTTGTACATTCAGAGCTGTGTATATTAAAGATAACTAATACAGAAATCAAGAAAATATATCCATACATATTCAACATGCGTTCTACAAGTTAGTGCAAAGGCAAAGCTAATTACTTTCGAAGTTCTTTTAAAGAATTTGTAACATTGGAATTGTGTCATATTAAATTTTATTATAAACAGGTCCTGCCTTGACACACAGCTGCTGCGTGAACACCATCTTCTGTGTCCTAGCGACTATTCTACAGAGGAACCCCCTCTTGTCCCTCCTCCTACAGGTAATGGTATACTAAAACTGAAGTGCAGTTCTTACTTGTATCATGGGCTCTATCAGGTGGTAGAGCCCATGCTTGTATATAACATATATTTTATCAATTATAATTTCTGTTATGCTGGCATGGATATAACGTAGGATCAATATTACAATGCCCTTATCAGTTATAATTCCACACCTTATCATGTAAATATATTTCAAAAATAGCAATAAAATCACCTACTGTGTCTTACTCTGTAAACCATGTTTATTTGATTCTTACTAATAAATTGAATTGAATAAAAACAAGTAATTATTAAACATGTGTACAGAATCAGATTGAACTTTATTTAAATTGTATGTTTTTTAGAAATACAAATACTAAAGAATATATGTATTATTTACAGCTGGTGAAGTGCCAAACTATGCCCGCCCTACTACAACATCAGAAAAACGCAGTGAAGTTCCCGATACTGCACAATCTCATTTTCCTGCCATTGGAGGTGATCTTGAAGAACATCATTTTTCAAGTAGATCAAGTTACAGTGGATCAGAATATAGCAGTGTTCCTGATGCAATCCCCCCTGGCACAGTGAGTTGCTCTTTTATAATCATCTAGGCAAGATATCAGACTGTACATTCATCAAGTCAACTCTTGGCTTTTTCTTTACCCAGAAGGTGACTGAGATAGTTGCATTATTATTGGTGATTTTAAAGTATATGCTCTATATACAGGGTGTTCAAAAAAAACGCAACCCAAAGAAATCGCTATATCTTGGAAAATACTAGTCCAATTGTGTTCATTTTTTCAGGAAAGAAAGAAGAGACTGTGTATGTATAGCTCATGTTGTTAGTTAGTTGTAAAACATGATGCCTTGGACAAATGCTCAAAAGACATTAGTATTGGAAAGATACGAAAAACGCAGTCAGAGACTACTGCCGCAGCAATAAAACCAAATAACTTTCTAACCATAGTGTTTTGGCTATTCAAATTTGGCACAAATCATCTTCATTCAATGTATGATAAATCTGTAGAGTGAAATCAAAATCACTCCAGGGACTTTACAGTTTTGGTCGAAATGCTTTCAAAACCCAGTCAAACACCCTGGTTCAGCCAGACTTAAGAAGGCATTCTGACCATGACGGTAAAGTCCCTGGAGTGATTTTAATGAAACTCCCCCAATTCACTACAGATTATATGAAGATAATTTGTGGTGAATCTGAAGTGCCAAAACACCATGGTTAGAAAGTTATTAGGGTTTATTGCTCTGGCAGTCACCTCTGGTTGCGTTTTTCGTATCTTTCCAATACTAATGTCTTTTGAGAAGGTGTCCAAAACATCATGTTTTACAACTAAGTAACAGCAGGAGCTATACACACATAGTCTCTTCTTTCTTTCCTGAAAAAAATGAACACATTTGGATAAGTATTTTCCAAGATATAGCGATTTCTTTGGGTTGCGTTTTTTTTTGAACACCCTGTATGTAAACTGTTTTTGCCTTGGTAAGATTTGGATCCTTTGTATGGGGTCTGGATGTGGTGTATTATCATTTTGTAACACCATGTGTAAAGGTTTCTGTTGTAAAGACACACAAGTGGAGAAGTGATATATACAGTATGTATAAAGTACTTGTTTATATAATTATTCATAAAGAATAAAAAGTCAATGTTTAAATTATCCAGTCATAACAAGTGTCAGCCTCTTTTTGAGTCAAGTAGCAAAAAACCAGTAAAAGAATAAATAACCAGAATAATTGAAAGCCCATGCTCAAACTAATTAAAGTAAAAATATGCGTTGAATTTTGCCTGAACATGTATTCTTGCAGAGTGATAAGTCAAATATGTGGAGAGACCAGCCCAGTCCTGAACAACGGGAAGTTAACCGAAAGGACATTTTGAACCTACATAGTCGTTCAAATTTTTCAAAAAATCCTCGGATTTCTGCAAGCTCAAAATCATTAACAAAAGGAAAGAAGAAAAAGCCAAAAGAATTTGGAATTAAGTCTATACCAGAACAGTAAGTTTGAGAATGTTCAGTAACATTTCACAAATGTAACTGTTGAATCTTTTTGTTGTGTTTGTATATACCATGGGCTCTATACCATTATACCCTCATAAACATTTGTAATGATTATAATTTGAGCTATCATCTCAGATAAAGCAATTGACTCAATTGCATCCGTTCAGTGCCAAACAGTTCAGTTCTACAAAAATTAAATGTTCAAAGACAATCTAATTCAACTGCATCTACCTATGTTTTCAGAATTGTTCTGTAAAATGGTGACAATTGGGAAGTCCTCCAAGCTGTACTCAACAAAAATAAGTTGGGTGCTCTTTCTAACAAATTTGGTAGCTAAAGTGTACATTGATGATATACTTTATATTTCTATTTTTTAGACCAACTGAAGAAACAATGCCATTTATAGCATCTCCATCTGTAGTTAGGTTTATGAACTATACTGTCGGGCAGGCCTATGAGGTAAGTGCCTTTTGTACATAATGAAATCCTTTCCGTCTTCTTACTGCTATGCTTCATATTCTAAGTAAGGTTAGGAGGGTAGGTTAATAGAAGAACTGTTTAGACATCCTTTATTTTGAACTTCATGATAAATGTTGTTCACGCAGCTTTTATAGAAAATAGACGAAATGAAGTAAATCATGCTAAATATGAAGAGCATGGATAAAATTAATTAAAAGTAAATGAAATAATAACATACTGTTTGATGTTCAATAAACATTGATTTCAATTTCAGGCAACTATTGAATTAAAAAATATTACATCATCAATGCGACAATGCCGTGTTATCCCTCCAAAGACGTCATACTATTCAATAAGTTTGGGCCAGTTCCCTGGAGAGCATGGTCTTGTTGCTCCTGGTATGAGTTGCCAGTACAAGATCAGTTTTATAGCTGATTCCCTGGGTGATTACGAGGATGTTATTACAGTTCAGACTCAGGGGGCGCCACCTCTTGATATCCCTATACAGTCAAGGAGACCCCCGCCAGAGCTAACATGTAAGATATATACCACATACATATCTTATTTTAATGTGTTTTGAACCTTTTTGAAGATATCACATACATATCTTATTTTAATGTGTATTGAAACTTTTTGAAGTCTCAACTAGAATGTTGGGACGTGAGTGTTCATTATTATTAATGATTTTATTTCACTTATTGTTCATCACACTCTATTATCCTCTAAAGTGTTCACCAAACTATATTACCAACATTACTGCATGTTGACAAAAACATAAATACAAAAGATTAATTCTCAAAATAGGGTAGTACATATATCTTGCTAATAAATTATTTTCCAGAACCTTTCTTACACAGCATACATATGTCATACTTGCCTTTATTTTTTAGAAAAAAGCTCAATAAGTAATTTACTATTTTTGCAGTACCCGAAGTAATTGACACTGGTCACTGTCTAGTGGGAGGGGTAAGAGTTGCCCAATTTAAGGTCAAAAACACAGGAGGTCCTGGGAGATTCTGTCTGATGCCCAGGAAAGTGTGGCCAGCTATTAATTTCAAAGTAAGTGAGAAGAAAAATTTGGAAAGGTACAGAATATATAAGTAGGAATTTAAAATACATGTATAGATAAATTTTCCAAAATAAATGTGGTATAGCACATTTACAGGAAATAAAAATAACATCTACTGAATGATGCCGAATTCAATAAATATTTTCAATTTTTAGAAAATAGTCACTGCAATAAACGTTACACCAGACCATGCTTAAAATGAATCTGAACCTATTCGTTCTATAGTTGTTCCATAATTATGCAGCATGTTCAAACAAAACTCAACACTCAAACAAAACTCAAATATGATTAATATTTTTAATGTTTAGGTAGTTGTAAGTATGTTCGTTCAGTAAGTTAAGTGAGTATGATCCATAAATGGGGTTGAACCTGAAGTATGCTTTTACCTGTTAAACTGGTGTTGATGAAAATACATGTAGTTTTATGTTCCATGAGTAGATTTTCCTGATATTCTGTTGTTTAGAGTATATATAGGCATGCATATTTGTATAATTTAGTACTGATGTGCTACATGTGTTTGAATTTGAAAGTAAACTACTGTTTTCCTTTTGTGTATTATGTTTTTTCTATTTGAATATCTATTTTCAAATTAAATATAAAATATTTGAAAATATAACTATAAACCATTATCCAAACATAAAATATGAACATATAGGGTTTTCATTGAAATATAATCCAAAAGGTTGGCATTTTTGATTTTAGTATCTCAAATTGATACTAGAGATACATGTATAATTAAAGCCATTTAACACTGTATAGCCATTTTGATTAGTTTTGCATTATATTGAGTACATTACATTCCTTGAGTACATTGATGACATTTTATTTCCTCAGACAATAGTAAGTCCAGGTGCTGCTGCGATTGGCCCATTTGAGGTGCGTCCCGCTGTATTCCAGCTGAACCATGGTGATTGTATGGTACTAGAGGTGATATTCAGACCAGGGGCTATAGATACCTACTCTGAACAGTTGGCTATGGTTTGTGATAACTGCCAAGTGCAATACTTCACCCTGCAAGGTTAGTTTTATTATAATACAATAAGTTTACAATTGCTAGGGAAGTAATGAACTATATGTACTGTAGTGTAGTGTAGTGTAGCATAGTGAAGATAAAGAGAGAAATTGAAGTGTGCCAAGGATGACGCATGAAGGATTCAAATCTAGAAGTTTTCAAAATCTAGTTTCACACTCAACCATGTCATGGATGACCAAAGCTAAACAAGGGTAACTATGTTGTAGTAGTGATTTGCTATGCTGGTTAATTTCAGTATTTTGTCTTTCCATTTTCCTACCCTCACATTTTAAATGTCATGTCATATATACTGTATATTAAAATGTGTACTTATATTAGGTGAAGGTCAGGTGGCTTCAGTGGAGTTCATGTCAGTAGAGGGCGGGGAGACGCAGCCATTGCCCGAGGATGTCTGTGATGTCACAGCCTCTCATCATGTCACTTTCAACCCACTAAACCCATTCACATATTTCCAGAAAGCAATCTCAATTAAAAACGCAACGTAAGTTTTAGTAAAATTATAATGAATAAAGATGGGGTCTAAAAAGGCATGTGTAATCTTAATGTACATATTACATCTATAGTTTCAACGAGTAAAATTGCATATGGTGCTGATATAGTTTTGTGTAGAGAAAGAATATTTTTAATTTATATAGTTTTCATTTTTCACAGGAATGTTGAGCTCCCATTCAATTGGCGAATTGTGAAGCCTCACCTTCAGGCCCCTCCTATAGATGGCAGTGCACCAGTTGCAGCACCAGAAAACAGAATCATTGACCTTGATTCTGCATTTAGTATAGAGCCACCTAGTGGCAGTCTGGCAGCAAATGGATCAGCTCAGTTTACGCTGACGTTTGCTCCTCCAGAACTAGGGAAATTTCACGATGTCCTACATCTTGTCTTGGACCAAATACCAAACTATGTCCCTGGAGTGGAGCAGCAAGGTAATTGCAATTTACTAATTCATGAAACTTCATGAAACACATTCTGTTAAATAAAAGATAAACAAACCATTAATAAAATGGTGACAAACAAAATTATGATTAACACAAAATTGAATTTCTAAATGCAATATATATTGTTTATATCTTGTGAAATGATTTACGTTGTTTTTAGTATCTGAAAATAACTTAGTTAAACATCAGGAAGTTTTTAGTATCTGAAAATAACTTAGTTAAAAATCAGAAAGATAGGAAACCAGGCAATATGACCTTTGAACCTGAGTCTTCTAAAATTCTTTCCTCAATCTTAAGTAGAACTAAACAACATTCCAAAACCCTTTAGGTACATCCGCAACCCTAGTTGTATTTATATAAATTGACCTTAAATGTTTTAGAACTGCCAGTGGAAGATGTTACAGCATTAGAAGTCGAACTGAAGGGAGAAGCTGAACCATTTAACATACTTGTACAACCATACGCCATCTATATCCCAGGAAAACAACCTGTTGGATCATCTGTGAAACGGCCTTTTAAGGTTAGCTAATCTATCCTCTTGTTGTTGATGCAGTTTGAAACTGCCTATTCTTTTTTGTCATTATTGTAGTAGAGCAGGTGAATGTATTTTGTAATTTTCTTACTCTTTCTATTTTAAATATGATATGATATTTTAAAATATAATATCAACATAACTGGTTAATTATACAACTACAGTTTCATAGAATACACTTTTACATTTCACTTCCATATTTGGTTTCCAGTTAATAAACAACAGTCACAGTGGAGTGTTCTTCGAATGGGAAAAAGTGACGAGCCCATTTATTGTTGAGGTGGAGCCTCCTATGGGAGAACTAGGCCCAGGGCAAGATTGGGATTGTGTAGTGAGTGTGACTGGGGCACAGCCAGGAAAGATTGAACACACACTACAGTGCCGTATTGAAAACCATTCTGAGCCAATCACAATGCATATAGAGGCTGAAATAAAGGTAAACTGGCTGAGATTTTCAAGAGTCATCCTTGCCTTATAAATAAACTGGCTGAGATTTTCAAGAGTCATTCTTGCCTTATAAAGAAACTGGCGGAGATTACCAAGTCATTCTTGCCTTGTATAGAACCTTTCTTCCTCAAATATGTACATTTCTATCTTGGACATAATCATGGTACTGTCAATCATGGAACTGTCCCATAAAACAAAAATGAATAAGAGATCTTTATAAATATGTACATTTCTATCTTGGACATAATCATGGTACTGTCAATCATGGAACTGTCCCATAAAACAAAAATGAATAAGAGATCTTTATAAAACAGACAGTTTGTTATACATGCAGAACATAACAAATGACTGAGTACATGTTAAGATAATTGAGGAAAGTAAAAGAGATAGAGAGTGTTGGGAGCAATCAAAAAGTCAGAACTGTTGGACATGACATGGCAGATTTGAGTGTTAATTTCCAAGAATCGTAGAAAAAAAAATTCTGAAGAATCATTTTAGTTTTAGAAATAATATAATATAATGATAGAAGGCCATTCAGAAACAAATATAATGTAGCTCTGAAATAGAACCACTTCAGATAAAGAACCACTTCAGATTTTGTAAATCACTTCATCGAAAATAATGCTTTATTTCTGCAGGGACCTGAGATCAAGATCAACAACCCTGATGTTAACTTTGGGCTTGTGAGGTTTGGAGAAAGCTCTACTCAAGAGATCACTTTGTGCAATATGAGTCAGATAGCAGCTGCTTGGAGAATTGAAGAGAGTACTGCTTTCCCACAACATGTGAGTTACAGGAATTTACATATACAGTAAAATCGCTGTAAATGGAACACCACTGGTACCTCAGACTACGTAGTGTTCTATTTGGGGGGTATTTCATTTAATCTCTTGAATCCCAAGCTTTAAAGTCGGTTGAAACCAGAGAATTTTTCATTATTGTCAACTTTTGACATTGTACTACATACATATACCACGGATGATGCTCATTTTAGTGAAAATTAGATGGCAGAGATCATTTCTACTCATCTTAAAACAAATTTTGTTTAAATTGGATAAAAATTGTTGAAATAAGAGCAATTTTAGTAAAAGAAAATTATGACGGATTTTCTCGTCACTCTGGGTTTCAAGGTCATATTTGAAGCAACGAGAAATCTTGTCACTCTTGGTCGCGAAGAGGTTAAAGAGGTTATTTTATATAAGTAAATCAGTAAAAGTGTTCGACTTATTAGTGATCCACTTCACTAGTTTTCTGTCCATGTACTAATCTAAACTATTAGAATATTCCATAGTTGTAGCATTTTGATGTGAGCATTCAAGAAGACCATGAAGTACATTCTTGCAATTTTCATTCAACTGTCTCAAAAAACTGATATGATGTAGTGGTATGTATAATATTTTTAAAAAATCAGTAGTTTTTCCGCATTCAATATAATAATTGCAATAAAAGCTTTGTAAAATATTGTTAATACAACTTAAAATTTCAGGAGAGAATGGAGTTTACATTCCAACCGAGTAGTGGAGAGTTGAAACCTTTAACCAATGAGGTAGTAAAGATCACCTACAACCCTACACAATGTACAACCCTCCATACAGCATTTGATGTTTATGTTAAGGAGGGCAACCAATGCACAATAGCAGGTACTGGCCATTTGTTAAACAACACTTTTTAAATGATACTCAAAGGCACACACATTTGAAAGGCTGTTACATGTAATACAGTACATTCTGTTAAAGAATAGACTCATCAAAAAATCAGAGGATCTAGAAACAAAATTCCACCTCTCATATTTTGAGATGATTAAAGAGAAAATTTATTTGTATTATTCTTCAAAATGAAATCACAAAAACAAAATAAATCAATTGCCGAATAGTTGACTCATGATCAGCCTCTATTACTATTTAAGTGCCATGACCTTGTTAAAAGAAGCTAAAACTGACCCTGCCAGGTATGCTCAGTAGTTTTCAGTATTTATTTTCAAACATCTATTAATTTAAATATGCCAAAGTTATGGAGTTTGAGATGGCCCTTTAAATTGTTTTATTATCTAGGTAGGGGAGAGGTAAAGAGACCAGAGGCATGCCTTCTTCAATGTGGATTAGAGCTAGAAGATGTCTATGTGGATGTCCCTGTTATTTACACTGTAGACATAGTCAACCAAACGCAACTGGATGCTGACTTTCAGTGGATGCCAGTGAGTTACTATTTAGTCCAATACCATTTATTCAATACATGTACATTGTATGACATGTTTTAAGCTATACTGTACTTAGAAATTCAACACTAAAGTAATTAGAGTTTTGCACAAGGCTCAATATGCCAACTTCAGAAATTACAAACAGTAAAACCTGTCTAAGTGGAACACATTTGGTACTTCTAAAAAGTGTTTTACTTTGGAAGTGTTCCACTTACAGAGGTTCATTTAACATTAGGTCAGTTGGTCATTGGACTGAAAATTGTTCCACTAACAGATGTGTTCCACTTCAGGGCATGTTCCACTTTACAGGTTTCACTATATAATCCAATTCATGTTGCATCATTGAGCCAAGTGTCACGAAATACATATGAAACTTCTCGAATTTGATTTGGGATGCACACAGAACATTATGAATGAACCTAGTTCACTATATATCTTGTTGTAGGTATCTGGCAGTCAGTCTGAAGACTGTAGTGTGATGATAGAGCCAGAGAAAGGTGTGCTTGGACCAAGGGAACAAAGACAAATTACTGTGCACTTTACAGCACATAAACAGGTACAGAATTCCTCCAAAACATTTAAACCAAAAGTATTCAAGCAATTGGCTTTTTTTACATATTTGGTTTTGAGATGTATCTGCAGTTAGTTACTTTGAAAGATTTTGTTTTGAAATATATTTATACCACTATTTTGAAAGAGATACGAGCAACGATATTTACCCCACGATACGATACAAACGATACAAGCAAATAAAATACAGTAAATAAAGTTCATGAAAATCTTCACAAAAAATCACCGTTCAGTCTTTCTGTATCTATCTGATATTAATAATTTCTGTTTGAACCTATAATTTTTTATTTCAAGTTCAATTGTTGATAATGAATCATAATTGTGATGTGGCAAAGATACTTGGGAGAACAAATGAGGGAAACAAACCAGAAAATGAGCTCTCTCACGTCTTGCTCATTAGCCATTTTTGATTTTGTTTATATCACTATGTTAATTAAGGGAACCATATATGGTCACAAGTTATTACACAGAATGCATATTAATCAATTTATGAATGAACGTTTCTGAAACGGTAACCAGACAACTCATCCCCTAGACAACTCATCCCTGGACAACTCATCCCGTGGACAACTCATCCCCTAGACAACTCATCCCCTAGACAACTTATCCCCTAGACAACTCATCCCCTAGACAACTCATCCCCTAGACAACTTATCCCCTAGACAACTCATCCCCTAGACAACTTATCCCCTGGACAACTCATCCTTCATCACATGAAGCTAAATTGTAAAGTATGTCTTAGTAAGAAATACTTAGTAAATACATCTTAGATCATTCAAAATATTATTTTTTACTTTACTGACACAAATAAACAGTCGAACAATGCCATTAAAACTCTCATCTCTAATTCTTATATTACATGACTCAATATTTCCTGACCAAACAAATAAAGTTCTCTTTGTGCATAATTTAAACATATAAATATAATATAATAAAATAAATATAATTTTATAATTTTATATTAATTGTTATATGCTTGAAATTGTATCACACTGAGATATAAGGGTAGAGTAACTTTGTTTACTTCTAATTCATCCACTGAAACCTGTTTTACAGGTTTCTAGACAACTCATCCCAAGACAACTCATCCCAAGACAAGTCATCCCTAAGACAACTCATCCCAAGACAAGTCATCCCCAAGACAAGTCATCCCAAGACATCTCATCCCAAGACAACTCATCCCAAGACATCTCATCCCAAGACATCTCATCCCAAGACAACTCATCCCACTTGTATAATTGATAAATTATTTTGTCCTCTATACATATATCCCTTTTTCATTTTTATGATTACAAAGTGATTTTTGATTACACACTCAATTTTTGATACCGATTTTTAGCGTTTTGAATGGTACTTGAAAGTTATGTTTTACTTGTTAGTACTGCCGCTATTTTGATTAATGCTGGGTTATTCTAAATATATTTGAGAATATAGAATTGAACATAAAAGTCATAGACATTATTTCCAAATTTAATCATCATATATCTGAAAGTTTGAAATTGGCAATCTTATTTAGGATTAGGCCAAAATATTTTTAAACAAAGACTGAATTAATCTGAGAGAATTATTCTGATAGCACCTTGGATAATACATTCTAACTGAGTTAATCCTACACTTTTGATTAATTGTAATTAATTAATTGTATAAATTATGTTATATTTCAAGTTGGGTAGAGTTGTCTAGGGGATGAGTTGTCTTGGGTTGAGATGTCTTGGGATGAGATGTCATGGGATGAGATGTCTTGGGATGAGTTGTCTTGGGATGAGATGTCTTGGGGATGAGTTGTCTTGGGATGAGTTGTCTTAGGGATGAGTTGTCCTGTTACCGTTTTACATAGGAGATATTTTTATAGGATTTTATAAAGTTAAACATAAACATACTTTATTAACAAGATGGAAATTATCGCAGCACAAGATACATTATTTGTTATATTGTATGAGTTTCTGTTAGCAAACTTTAATTTTTGTCAAATAAAAATCATCATTGATTCAGGTTTTAAGAATTAATAAGCAATATTTTCAATAAATATCACATGGGTGTGATAACCAGTTGTGTCGACATTAAAATAGCACACAATAAATGTCCTTGACATTAACACACCTGACGCAGGTTTTGGTAGAACAGCAGAATTTGAACATATTTGAAATTATCAATTATCCTAATTTGCCCATATATTATACTGAAGTATATTATGACATATTTCAGATTCATGAATAATTTGTTTGTGTTGGGATTTGCTTCTCTGTGGATTTGCCGATTTCTAGTTCACCATGTTAGCCCACTGAATTGTGCCATTTTTGATGATATTCATTATGTACATATATTTCAGGTGATGGTAGAAGATGTCCAAGTTGTATGCTGTATTAAGGGAATGGTCAAGCCACTGGTGCTTACTATAAAGGGACAGGTGTTGGGAATGAATGTTATATACAAGACTCCAACTGAAGGACAGGATCTTAAGTAGGTTGCTTTGAAGATTTATTTATGAAATTATTTGCAGATATTTCCAATATACAATTAAAGAAAGCCAACAAACATCACTGTATCCATATTTTACAACACTTGTACATCATATTGTAGTGTCAAAAGTAAAAAAAGATTTACTAAACATTTTCCGTTTCGTGTTGAACTGATAACCAGTACTTATATATACATATAGATCCAAAATGCCCATTTTTGTGACTTGTGTGTTTCAGTACCTCAAGTGACAAACTGATAGTTGAGTTTGGTGATGATGCTAAGCTTGGTGTGCCTGAGAAACGTTATGTATACATTGAGAACACTTCTGCTATCTCTGCACCATTTAGTATATACATGGAACACTTCTATGCAAGACCTCCCACACCACCCAAGGTGGATTCTCATATGCCAAATAAAAGGTACAGATATGTTTAGATAATGTATTGTTCCATTTTTATCTTCATGGTTAACGTATTTTTTCTAGACGATATAGTCTTCTGAAAATGTGGAAAATATTCAAAATTAAAAGAATGAGTAATTTCATTATTTAAAATTGGGATCTTGTGTTAGAATTACAGTTCATTTCGATGATGTATTAGATGTATGATTTTTTAATGAACTTTTAGTTTGTTTGTTTTTTGATATGCTTTTTTGAGAAGCATATGATTTAATAATCAGCCATATTAATATATAACCCAGTTCTATCACAAAAGTTGTTGGATTCTTGAATATTTATGCACAGTTTACTTTAGGTTTTAATACCTTTTATAATGCTTTGTCTTCTGTGCTACGGAATTTAGTTTATTTTTCATTAGTTATAATTTAAAGTCTATTATTAATGTTAATATTGGTTATGATACTACATGTATTTTGTTTTGGTTATGCTTCTTTTGTATTTTATGACCATACTTTTGAACTTTTGTTTTTTTCTTGTCAGGATAAAAAAATTGTTTTTGATTTAAGGTGTCCTCATTTCCTAAATGTGTGAAGTGTTTTTATTGCTGTGGCTAACAAGGTGTGTATTAAGAACGAGTATTTATATTTATTTGTTTAGCAGCCAAAGAAGAGCTATGCTTGGACGTACTCCCAACCTAGCTGATCCCATGAGTAGAACAACAGCCAAGGCACAAACAGGTAGGGCGTTTAATATTAATTTCAACCCATGAGGTGTTTTGTCACAAAATGTAAGAATATAAGGTTGTACATAAAAAGAAAAGGCATAGAAAAGTACAATGTACACCCCCCTCCAAAAGTTTGGCGATGGTTCCCAGTTGGATAGACTATTAATACTATAAGTTATTGAATGATTTGAAGTGCAATACAGGATATATTCTGCTCGAGAATTCCGTATTGGAACGAGATGAAGTCGAGTGCCAATACAGAATATCGAGACAGAATATATCCTGTATTGCACTTCAAATCATTCAATAACGTTTTTATCGTGTGATCCTCTGTATTGCTACTGAGATTGTCCCCTCCGTACCAATATTTTCTGTATTGCGACGGAGATGATCAACGGGGACAATCTCAGTAGCAATACAGGTTGGTACAGCACAAGAACTGACCAATCAGAGGGCTTCATTTTACAGATCATACGATAAATGTTTTTATTTCACTTTGGAAAAAATGCTGAATTATTTTGTTTTGTGCTGCTGGGCAGTGCATGTGCCTGGGGGTGTGGGTGGACGCCATCACCACATAAATCTTGGTCATCTTTCAATATTCCTTACAAGTCAAATCTTAACAGACTGCATATTCTTCAAAAACATTTTGTTCGACTTGTGTGTAATAAAAATCAACAGACCCTCTCAGCTCCCCTATTTAAGTATATCTATCTCAACATATTTGATGTAAACAAACTTAATACTATAATGTTCATGTTTGATCTAGAAAAGGAAAATGATGAATTCTCAAAAAATAACTCAGTTCACTCTTACGATCATAGAAAAATGATTTTCATATTGGAAAGGCTAGCAGTTTGTGATCAATCAGTTATTATGGCCCTCGTATCTGGAACTCAATACCTGATAACATTAAAAAATCTGACTCAATGTTCAATTTTAAGAAGCATTTCAAATCTAACTCTTAAAACATCATACTTAGCTTGAAATCAAATATACTTTGTTCTGCTTAATTAAGTGAGTTCATTTTCCTAGCACCTTGAGACACATCATCCATGGAACAATCATCACAATGTTAATAATCATTAGAAAGTCTAGTCTGTTTCTATTATATTTAATCATGTATACAGTAGCTTTATTGCTTAGACTCTAGGTCTTACTTTTTTCTATACAGAAGACTTTTCAAGCACATGATACTTCTTTTATGTGCCATTGTGGTGTCTTAGATTGTGACATGTTGCATGTTTTGTATATATTTTATTATAAATAGATAAATAAGAATATAAATAAATAAATACATGCACATTAGTCAGAATGATGATAATTTGATGATTCTTTTAAATTGCAAAACATTATCAGACTTTTGATCAAATTGGAAGCAGGCCCGTAGCCAGGGGGATCCGCAGGGTTCGGGCGAGCGCCTGCCCCCACCCCCTCTGGCCAAAATATCTTTCAAAATCATGCATTTTTTAACCGTTTTGAGCAGTTCTCAAGTGATTTTAGCTATATTTGGACCAATATTGTCAAATGTGAACCCCCCTGGAAATTTTTGAAAACTGAACCCCCCTCGAGAAATCCTGGCTACGGCCTTGGAAGTATAACTAATTTCATAGAATTTGCACAAAACATGTGCTGTTGATTAGAGATTAATATTATATTTGTTTCAACAGAACTCTGCGCAATGATGCTGTCTGAGGGACGTGGAGCCGCATTTGCAATACAACCAGCATCAGGGGTGCTGCCACCTTTTGGTACTCAAATGATTGAAGTTATGGCTTACAGTGATATGTGGGGTGATTATAAAGATAAAATGATCTGCAAGGTAAGGAACTTTTCTCGACCAATCATATTGCTTCTTTATTTATCACCTTATATTAAAGGCAGAATCTGGCAATTACTTTGGTGCTTCATCTTGATGAAAATTGTTCCAATTTTAGAATATTTTGGGCTCATATCATTCCTTGTCATGTTTAGGTAACCATTCTTAATATTTTGGAGAATTTGAGTAATTTTTCCCCATTTTTGCACTTTGAATCTTAAATAACTTCACCAACTGATAATATATCACGGATCTTTTGGGAGTATTATATTTGAGCTTGTAAAGGATACATTGGTAGATCAGTAGTACAGTACATATTGCTTGCAATTTTGTCACTCTCTATGGATTTGATTGTGCCTTTAAGAAATATAGCAAAATCTTGTCTTATTTATGTTCATGTAGAGTATAGATATGGCCGTGAGAGTCGTACATGTAAAATTATTAATATAAAATTAATATAAATAAATATTGAGCCAATTAACACAAAACACAATACCTTGGAAAATAATGGCTAATTTAAGTTAATTAGCTACAAGAGTTTACAATTTGACATAACTGTTAATTAGCTCAATTGGATATATTATAATACCATCTCCAACTCATCTTCTTGGGCGAAAATAAATCTCCAACTGGTGGTGTAAGCTGGGGAAGGAGGTGAGGGAAAAGAATCGAAATGTATAACTTACATTGATGTTAATGGATTTTGTACGCACCTAGGGAGAAAACCCTCCAACTACAATCCTATCGATATCTCGTCTGAAGTCTCATCTCGTACTCTCGAGATCTGAAGCTTGATGTTTCGTTCAGTGTAACTTACCAGAAACATTTACCTGGGATAACCGGGGAATGGTCTTCTCAGGGCTTGTTCATACCTAAACCTTAACCGACTCTCACATTGCCATAAATGAAATTATTGTCAATAATTTGAATTTATGTTCATGTAGAGTATAGATATGGCCGTGAGAGTCGTACATGTAAAATTATTAATATAAAATTAATATAAATAAATATTGAGCCAATTAACACAAAACACAATACCTTGGAAAATAATGGCTAATTTAAGTTAATTAGCTACAAGAGTTTACAATTTGACATAACTGTTAATTAGCTCAATTGGATATATTATAATACCATCTCCAACTCATCTTCTTGGGCGAAAATAAGGCCATGCGCGATCTCTCGCGAGAGCCCAAAAGAAAAGAAGATTAATTAGAAAGTAGTTAAATCATTTATTGATACACACAAATCAATACATGAATACCAAAATATAAGAACATCATAGAAATGAACTAAAGTAAATCCGCAAATTCTGAAATATGGATGGACAAATTAATGTAATGAATGTAATATGCTGTCAATCTCAGGTAAGATAAAGGAATTAGAATTGAATGAAAATTTTTGAATTCAGAAAGTGCGGGTTTATCTCAATTAAATTTCTAGTACATCATGAAGAAAAAACAGTAGCTACTTGAAATTTGCATGCTCGACACCTGTCTGAGCCACTTTGGGGTTTACATGAAAATTGAATACTCGACACCTGTCTGAGCAACTTTGGGGCTTTAATGAAAATTGCATACTCGACACCAGTCTGAGTTTATAAATGTCTACCTAATATATATTTTTAATGTATGTATGTATGACATCTCCCAATCTTTTTGATAGTATAGTCATCAAGTCCAAGATTTGTGGCCCATGTAGCTCCGCCTATCTGCAAACTGTGGCATTTAAAGAAGGTAGGATCTACCTGACATTGAACAAAGAGTTTGTGAAGAAAATTGTTAAATACAGAAGTCTTCACTGGAGCATCTCTATAAATGAAAAGAAGACCTGATGTTAAAGGACCTTATGTTCAGGTACAACTTCATATGTAATACTGGACAACAAGATGGTAATTGAGAGTTAATTGATATCGTAGCAGGAGATGAGCTATGTTTAAAATGTGAAAAAGTAATAATGAAAAGGCTTCATCGGGAGAGAATTTAATACTTTCTAACTGTAAGTTGTGTCCTGCGGAAGTACTTGTCAACTCACTACTTCTTAGTAAGCCAAAAAGGCTGTAGATAACATAGCTCTGTACAAGACTTGAGCAAAAGGGTCAAAATCTACATCAGAAGTTTTAGAAATCGTTTGTTCTAACAAAGCTGTGTTGATTGGCAATCTAGTGTCTATGCTAGGATTTTTTTTACAAAAACCGGAAACTATTTGAGAGACTACATAAGAAGTAGTGGGATCCTTGAAATTGTTAAATGTGAAAATATGATAGATATGATATACTAGACAGAATTGACTTGAATGAATTAGGGGCATAATTCTTTAAACGAAGATGTGCTGCAAAAAGGCTAGCAGAGGTTGGGGTTAGAGGAAATTCACCTATACCTGTCTGGGAGTTGAACTGTACTAATAAATCATATGACTTTCTGGTAGACGGGGCTTGGGCAGCTTGAAGTGCTTCTAAAAAGATAGAAAGTAACATAAATTGTTTCTAGATAAAGCGTCAGCAGCAGAATTATGAATACCAGCAATGTGTTCACTTTGAACATGATATTGTTTGAGAGACATTTTAATATATAGGAAGTAAGAGTTGCATGGACGTTTGATTGCTGGTAGAAAATTTATTTCGGTATGTTCACTACTGCTTCATTGTCAGAATGCAGGAAAACTGTGTGTCCAGACATAAAATTGCCTATGAAGTATAGCAGTAACAATAGGATATAATTCAAGAATATTGATGTCCAATCCTTTCCATTCTGATGGCCATTCCCCTTTAAACCAAAGATTATTGCAAACGGCTCAATAGCCTATCGTAGTAGAAGCATCGGTAAATAGATGCAAATGTTCTCTTGTCTCTTGTTCTTCTGTAAGGAAAAAAGGTTTGCCATTAAAGTGAATTAGAAACTCTTTGCACATTAATAAATCCTGGATAGATGGAGTGTTGATAAGATTTTATAATGTAGCTCCTTCATATTTTAGATAGATGAATAAATATTGAAATAAATGATCTACCGAAAGGAATCACACAACAACAGTAGCTAAGGAATCCTATAGCAGATAAAGTTCTCTTTTTTTGAGACTTTCTTTGGTTTTGGCTTAATGGTGAAGGGGTTGATGTTACATAAAGTGTCAATGATTGTTTTGCCATTTCCATGGGCAAACGAGCTTCTAATAGTCTTACACAAGAAGCAACCTTTTCTTAAATGTTTTATAATATCTATGGCTTGTTGTACGGTTGCATATTTAACTGTAGAAGTTTCGTCTGGGATAGTATCATTATGGATTGGCCTCTGGGATGTGATAAGTTGTGAATAACACACAATTCACCTGGAGATTTTTTAGGAACGAGAAATAAGGGTGAAATAACATAATATCAAATGGTGGCTGGTCAAAAGGTCCAAGTATTCTACCAGCTTTAAGCTCTTTGTTTAATTTTTTGAGAGCTTCTGGGTTCTTAGATATGATGACAAATTATCATGAGTAATGTTGTAATGTTCTGGCAAATCAGAGTGAGGAAATTTAAATCCATACTAGAAACCATGAACTGTTTCTTCTTGATGTTCATAGCCTTCAAGCCAATATCTGAGTCTTTCAGGTTTAACTGGAGTAACAACTTGTGTTGACATAAGTTCACTCGAAGGGTTTTGGAGTCTCCAGTACCTGAGCGCTTTTTGTTGGGGAATTGGGCTTGCCTGCCGTTGTTGCGGGAGTAACATTTGACATGGAGTGTTTGGAACGATTGCAAGTTGGGCAGGTGTGGTTAAAGGGACAAGGGGATATATATTTCAAGAGGTGAGGGGTTTGATCATGAAATCTTTGGGTATAGACAGCAATAAATATACTGAATGCTCGGACCCATTCTGGAAATGAAAGGAATTTTTTGAAGGGATTAAATTCAAATGTTTTGATTCAAAAGAATTGTCAGATTACATCTCACAGAGGACATAATCAATGTTTTTGTCTTCTTCAATACAATCATGAATCAATACATGAATACCAAAAATATAAGAACATCATAGAAATGAATTAAAGTAAATCCGTAAAATCTGAAATATGGACAAATTAATGTAATGTAATATGTTGAAAAATGGGAATTGGATTCATAGAAGCTACTGACACCTGTCCTTGTAGCATGGCATTTGTGTTGGGAATTAATCCATAAGCTGTAGAGACGGGTTGGGAATTATGAAAAGCTGAAAGGTTAGTAGAGACTGGAGGGATGAAAGGGTAGGGTTGGATATTAGCGCTTGATGCAAAAGATGGAATAGGGCGAGTAATAGATGCTGTGGGTCTATTTAGAGAGAATGAAATGTTGGGTTGGAATGGAAGATGTAGTGGAATAAGAAGGGAAAGGGGATAAGGGAAAAGTTGTTGTAAAGTTGCCTCTTATTAAAGTGGGCATAGACTTGGCTGCAGTCAGGGTATTAGAAGTGTGATACTCTTCTATAGTAATACTTGGGCTAGGATCAGATCCTTCAGTTTCAGACATCTGGAATGAAATAAGTAGTATTTATATAGAGGGTAAGCAACTTCAAGACATAATAACATTTTTAGATAAATATAAATAGAAGCACATGCTCCATGTTAGATGTATATAAATATGATGCCCATAAGGCTAATCATAATAAATATGATTTAGAATACACTGCATGAATAAATGCATATGATATATAAAGATTATGAATTATCATAATATAAATATGATGCCCATAAGGCTAATCATAATAAATATGATTTAGAAAACACTGCATAAATAAATGCATAAGATATATAAAGATTATGAATTATCATAATATAAATATGATGCCCATAAGGCTAATCATAATAAATATGATTTAGAATACACTGCATAAATAAATGCAAATGATATATAAAAATTATATTTTATCATAATATAAATATGATAACCTTTAAGAATAAAGGTAAAGAATACAATGCATTAATAAATGCATATGATATATAAAATAATATGAATTATCATAATATAAATATGATAACCTTTAAGAATAAAGGTAAAGTATACAATGCATGAATAAATGCATATGATAAATAAAATAATATGAATTTTATCATAATATAAAAATGATAACATATCATGTCTAAAGGTATAGTATACACTGCATGAATAAATGCAGATGATATACAAAATAATATATATTTATCATAATATAAATATGATAACATAAAGTAAACAGGAAACTAAATTTCCTAATATAAGTATAGTACTTATGAAGGATAACTAAGTGAATAAACTATTGTGAATAGTTAACGACTCTCTGGCTTATGTTTGGTTAGAGAAGAGTAGCCGTCTCTTCTAATGTTAAGTCTAATTATTATTACCTAATAAAAGTAATCAAGAAATCTCAGGACTGCGCCTTTCCAGGACTTGACGAAACGCTTTTCCCCTTTGCATTGAGATGTATGGGATTGTAGGAGTCATCTATCAAATTTGACCATTGATTTTATATTGGGTGGTAAGTGGGTGATGGAGGAAGAAAAGTCTATTGCCCTTATGAGATGAATATCATTTAACAATTTGAAATTGGTAGATAAAATTTTTGAATTATATCGAATGCATTCTGAAACAGTATTGATCGAGGATTTGAAAGGATGCCATGAGCATTGAAATAGTTCTCCAATATAAAAGGCTTTTAATGAAGGATGTATATCTAAATATTGTTCAGTCAAAGTGATGAGATTTTTTGCAACAAAGGTAGATGATCTATGAACCAGATCAATTTCTCCTAGCTGTAATATAGCCATATCTGGGTAGGGATTTTTATATTTTAAATCATCTTGAAATTGTTTAATTGTATATACAATGGTGGTATTATAGTTAACTATGTCTTCCTTTAATTTAAAGTCAAATTGGTTAGATTCTTCTATTTTCCGAACAAAAATGTGGCCTATAACGTTGACCCTAATATCATTAGGCATCTCTAATAGTCATGTATAATGGGAGAAGAAAGGTAAGGATATTTGACTCCTGTCTTATCCTCAGAGTAAAGTATATTATGTGCAATAAGGTGTCTGAAATATAGAAGAAAAGGAATAATATAGCTCTCTCAAGAGATAAATATATATCAAGTAATGAAATGATATCTGTACCTTCATGGTACTATGAATAATCCCAATAACAACCAGAAATCTCTGGAATGGGATAATAAATAGAATAGACATATTTATTTAATAGCCTACAAGGTTACTTACACTCGTAAATAAATGAAATATCTATCATTAGATTGGATGGAGTCTATTGAACGTAACTTGAGGACATGTATGTGACTTACTTCGTTCCAAAGCCTTCTCTATATTCCGGCTTTGAGTAGAAAGATTAGCTGCCTTGGTATTGTAAATATTGTAAATCAATGTGTCACACGCACAGTGAATACGGCAAATAATATGAAATATACCTTTATGTATAGATTTGAGAAACAACAGCACACATCTCCATCTGAATCTATTGTTATATTTGATTTCTTTAAGCGAGAATAATTTCAAAGTTTCCTACATTATTCACGTCTGGAACCGGAAGCCATTTTTTAGCTACAGCGAGAAAATTTCACCATGTGTCAAACTCCGAAAAGAAATTTTGAAATATCTAAATCCAGACAAGCAACACTTCATCCTCAATATAATTAATATTCTTAAATATTTATAAAATTTATCAAAAATGATTTCTAGGTGCGTGTAGCAATTTATACATACGAAATACGAGTACATACGAATTCAATGAAGTTACATCTAGCTGTAAGGTAGAGACTTGAGTAATATGTGACGTGTCCATATTCATCACTAAATTAATCTTTTGTATAAATTCAAGTTTTAAACCATATGTACGAGATGTCAATTGAATATTTCAAACATAAAACTACAAAGTCATAAAGACAAAAGATAAAACGTGTTTGAAATTTTTTGAACATTTTTAAACTGACGTTTTTTGTGTGAAATATTGCGATAAAATTTTCACAAAACGATTCAGCGATAGATAAATGTATATACAAGAGATAAATGTCGATAAAAAGAATCGAAATGTATAACTTACATTGATGTTAATGGATTTTGTACGCACCTAGGGAGAAAACCCTCCAACTACAATCCTATCGATATCTCGTCTGAAGTCTCATCTCGTACTCTCGAGATCTGAAGCTTGATGTTTCGTTCAGTGTAACTTACCAGAAACATTTACCTGGGATAACCGGGGAATGGTCTTCTCAGGGCTTGTTCATACCTAAACCTTAACCGACTCTCACATTGCCATAAATGAAATTATTGTCAATAATTTGAATTTATTAGTAACTTATACTTCATTTTTCACAGATTGAGAAGTTGGACTTAAAAAGCATAGATGTTCACATGAATGTTGTCGGATGTCCATTGAACTTCCAAGTGTCGACCAAGGCACAGCCCATTGTCAGATTTGGAACTCATGTATCAGGGGTTGCTCCTGTGGTGCGACAGATGCGCATCAATAACTCTAGTCCTTATGGTAGGTGACTCATGTTATTCAGGAGACAGGTTTCAAACTCAATTAACTTCAATGAAATTCTGCATAAATGGCTCTAATCTGCATCAGCTTTGAATAGATTAAATCTGTCAAATTTAAATATATGACTTCCACTTCAAGGTGATATCATGATTTTTTTTATAATTTACTTTTATTTTGATTATTATTTTTTATTTAATTTTTTATTATGATTTTTAATTTTTTTCTAGATGTACGTTTAGACTGGGAGGTTTACAATGTTGAGCCTGAGGATGATCAGCTGTTGGATTTCAATGTAACATATGGTGTTGCATTTCCCCTTCGCGACAAAGATGGAGTTGAAATTGAACCAGTCATTGAAGGTATATTTTACAGTATCCATCAGAAACAGACTAAAGAAAAAATATTGAAAAGGCGATCAGTTAGATGAAATAAAGTCAGGTGGTAATTTGGATAGCAAATATGCAGCTGGCAAAATTAAACCTTGAATTAACAAGTCTAATGTTCTTTGATGCCTATGACGTCATACAGTATGGTTACTATGGTAACAACAATGGATTTATGAATATTCATTGCAAAGAATGTTAAAAAAATGTACCCGAGGTTCATATGTGTATTACAATATGTTCTTCTGACTGACTGTATGTTTTGATTAATATTGAAGGTCCACCACCACCAGAAAGACTTCCAACTGAGTTTATTCCAAACTCTCCTGACTCCACAATGATGGGGAGTCGCCTGGCAACAGAGGCAGGGTCTGTTTTTAGCAGTCAGCGAAGCATCATGACTCCGCCTCAGAAGCAAGTTGTGTTTACAAACCTGAGAGCCCATGAGGGAATAATGAGCACAACCCCCTACAAGATTGTACCTTCACAATTAGTAAGTGTCATAAAATACCTTCTGAAATAGTTTTTATTTCTAAATATTTTTGATTTATTCATTTATTTGATTTTTATGTCACTGCCACAAGTGGTGACATACTGTTAAAGTCTCAGACTTGTGGACCTGTTTGGCATCTGGCAGTCGGTGTTTGGCATCTGTAACAAATGGTATGTGGTGACATTTTGCATGTGAATTGTTAATGCCTTGTTGTATACAGTTTCATAAACTTTGTCAAAATAAAAACTTTTAAAAGTGAAGAGCTTTTAATTTTAAGACTCATATATCATGTATTAGAATTTGCATATGACAGCTACTTCATTCAATTTATGTATTAAGTAACGCCAAAATGCAATTTGTAATATTTAGTAGATTGAATAATTTAATTTGAATGATTTAATTTGCATTCTTAGGTGATCCCAGCCCGTGGTTGTAGTTCTGTTAATGTTGTCTACACACCATATGCAAGCGGGGAACTGGTTCAGGATGGCAAAGATTGTATTGGATTTGCCCAAGGCTTCATGAGCTTGGACGGCAAAGCTGACACACCAAATAAGGTCGTACGAAAGGATGCATATGATATGACTCCATTGAGGATTGATATGACTGCCTTTGTAAAGCCAGCTTTGTAAGTCCAAAATATTTTGTATCTTATTTAAAGTTGTCAACAAAGAGGAGAAGTCAAGGTTTTCTTCTGAAAACTAACCTGGAAAAGTTTAACAGTAAATATTTAATGAATGTCAGTCTATACTACTCTTCACAACTTTTATCTTGTAACAGTAAGCATACAGTAAGTGCTGCCTAATCTGAACACCACTGACCAAAAGTGTTTGAATTAACAGGTGTTCACATTTCAAGGTTTTATACAAAAAGTGCTCGCATGGAGAGGTGTTCAGATTAGAGAGGTGTTCAAATATACAAGTTTTACTGTACTTCAATAAAATCAAAATTGTTTATCTCCGGGTCCAGGATTATTGATTTTAGTTCATTTTTTATTCATTTAATTTAAAAGGCTTACAATAGAGTGTGCTGAAGATGAGGGAATGCGCTACAGATCTGCCGCAAGTGACCTGCTACAAGAGGGCACCTTGAGAGAGGATAGCTTGCGTGTATGTGGGGCAACAATAGGCAACCTAACAGAGACTCCCCTAGTGTTCCAGTTGACAACAGAGAAGCCATTTGTCATGGTGGATACTGACCCATTAAAACCAAACTCTGCATTGGCACGTACTCATAGCACTGAGATGATCACACTAAAACCTCAGCATAATATGCAGGTAATATCCTAAAACCATAGCACAATATGCAGGTAATATCCTAAAATCATAGGATAATGTGCAGGTAATATCCTAAAACCATAGCATAATATGCAGGTAATATCCTAAAAACATTGCATAATATGCAGGTAATATCCTAAAACCACAAGATAATGTGCAGGTAAGTATACTAAAACCATAGCATAACGATTGCAGGTAATATCCTACAACCATAGCATAATGTGCAGGTAATATTCTAAAACCATAGCATAATGTGCAGCTTATAGAGAAAAACCATAGCATAATATGTAGGTAATATCCTAAAACCGTAGCATAATATGCAGGTAGTTTTCTTGAACCATCATATGCAGGTAATATTTTTGAACCTGAGAATAATCTGCAGAATTGCATGTAATATTATAAAAGTTCTTTGAAACTCAAGTATGGTATATAGACATGGCTTTGAAACTAATTAAGAGATGAAGGATCGTGGTAAATTCTTCTTTTTATTTTGATTCAACTCAATGGTCATATAACTTTTGATTTTGATTACATAATGTTAAAGGTATATCTGTTTAATGATTGGTCTATTTTTGTTACTAGATGAAGATTGCATTCCAAGTTGACAGCAGTCTTCTGGAACAACTAAAAGATTTAGAGATAGAAGATCCACCTAAAGATGAAGAGCAGAAAGAGAATGGTGTCACATTGCAGATGTGTGGCAAAGAGAGGAGATTGAATTATGTATCTGATCTCATTATCAAGTTCAACAACTCATCCATACAGGTACTGGTTTATGTTTATGTTTATGTATCTTTATTTCCACCTATGCAGATGAGTACATAATAATTATAAAGTTAATGTGTTAATATTAAAAATATAAAAATAAAAATATATATATTTACAACGGAAACTGTGTTGATTTAATAGTTTATAGAGCTATAGCTGCAGCTCTTGTTTTTAACATGTGTTTGACACTTAACATTATCTTCACATACATTCTGTAGTCTAATGCTTCATTATGTCACCACCAAAAGTGGTGACATATTGTTATGGTCTCCGTTTTTTTGCGACGGCGGTTGGTGGTTGGCGTCCGGCGTCCGGCGGTTGGAGGTTGGCGTCCGGCGTCTGTAACAATTTCTTACAACTTCCTATAACTTAACAAATACTGTTTAGACTGACTTCAATTTTTTTCTAAATCATCTACATGTTCTCAGAAGTTCAAATCTGACTTTAGATTTGACATTTGACCTTCAATGACCTTCTCAAGGTCAAAAAGGTCTTTTTTCAACTTGCTTCACATTGACTAAATTTTTTTTCAAAATCATCTACATGTTCTCAGAAATTCAAATCTGACTTTAGATTTGACTTTAGATTTGACATTTGACCTTCAAATCTGACTTTAGATTTGACATTTGACCTTCAATGACCTTCTCAAGGTCAAAAAAGGTCAAAAAGGTCTGTTTTCAACTTGCTTCGAATTGACTAAATTTTTTTTTCAAAATCATCTACATGTTCTCAGAAATTCAAATCTGACTTTAGATTTGACTTAAGATTTGACATTTGACCTTCAATGACCTTCTCAAAGTCAAAAAAGGTCAAAAAGGTCTTTTTTCAACTTGCTTCAAATTGACTAAATTTTTTTTCAAAATCATCTACATGTTCTCAGAAATTCAAATCTGACTTTAGATTTGACATTTGACCTTCAATGACCTTCTCAAGGTCAAAAAAGGTCAAAAAGGTCTGTTTTCAACTTGCTTCAAATTGACTAATTTTTTTTTTCAAAATCATCTACGTGTTCTCAGAAATTCAAATCTGACTTAAGATTTGACATTTGACCTTCAATGACCTTCTCAAAGTCAAAAAAGGTCAAAAAGGTCTTTTTTCAACTTGCTTCAAATTGACTAAATTTTTTTTTCAAAATCATCTACATGTTCTCAGAAATTCAAATCTGACTTTAGATTTGACATTTGACCTTCAATTACCTTCTCAAGGTCAAAAAAGGTCAAAAAGGTCTGTTTTCAACTTGCTTCAAATTGACTAAAAAAAATTTCAAAATCATCTACGTGTTCTCAGAAATTCAAATCTGACTTTAGATTTGACTTAAGATTTGACATTTGACCTTCAATGACCTTCTCAAAGTCAAAAAAGGTCTTTTTTCAACTTGCTTCAAATTGACTAAATTTTTTTTTCAAAATCATCTACATGTTCTCAGAAATTCAAATCTGACTTTAGATTTGACATTTGACCTTCAATGACCTTCTCAATGTCAAAAAAGGTCAAAAAGGTCTTCTTTCATCTTGCTTCAAATTGACTAAATATTTTTTTCAAAATCATCTACATGTTCTCAGAAATTCAAATATGACTTTAGATTTGACTTTAGATTTGACATTTGACCTTCAATGACCTTCTCAAGGTCAAAAAAGGTCAAAAAGGTCTTTTTTCAACTTGCTTCAAATTGACAATTTTTTTTTTCAAAATCATCTACATGTTCTCAGAAATTCAAATCTGACTTTAGATTTGACATTTGACCTTTAATGACCTTCTCAAGGTAAAAAAAAAGGTCAAAAAGGTCTGTTTTCAACTTGCTTCAAATTGACCCAATTTTTTTTTCAAAATCATCTACATCTTTTCAGAAGTTCAAATTTGACTTTTACAAGTTCTCAGAAGTTCAAATCTGACTTTAGATTTGACCTTCAATGACCTTGTCAAGGTCAAAAAGGTCTTTTTTCAACTTGCTTCATATTGACTAATTTTTTTTTCAAAATCATCTACATGTTCTCAGAAGTTCAAATCTGACTTTAGATTTGACATTTGACCTTCAATGACCTTTTCAAGGTCAAAAAGGTCTTTTTTCAACTTGCTTCAAATTTACTTAATTTTTTTTCAAAATCATCTACATGTTCTCAGAAGTTCAAAACTGATTTTACATTTGACATTTGACCTTCTCAATGTCAAAAAAAGTCCAAGAGGTATTTTTTCAACTTGCTTCAAATTGACGAATTTTTTTTTCAAAATCATCTACATGTTCTAAGAAGTTCAAATCAAACCTTCTTAAGGTCAAAAGGTATTTTCCAACTTGCTTTAAATTGACCAAATTGTTTTAGGTGGTGACATTTTGTCATGTTAATGCCTTGTTTTTTCCTAGTAAGACCTCCATTTTTTCAACCATATTATATCCATCAAATATTCTGTCACTTAAAACTGCCAACAAGTCACTCCTACTTTCATGAAGTTCAAGGCAATCTAAGAGAAAATGCCTTGTCGTTTCATTTGTCATCCCACACAGAGGACAAATGGTGTCATAGTTGAGTGGGAAAGCACCTGTTAGCAGTTTTACCATATCCCTACACATCCCTATATATTTACAATTCGATTGACAGATTCTCCACCATACGCATGGTTTTATCGTAACTTGTATCGTTCTATAAACGCTTAGTCTGTTAGATATGTTACATAACAAGTGCCATCTGTCTTCTTCATACTGCATTATGCGTGCTTTAACAATCCGTTTCCACGCACATTTGGGCATCAGGTCATAATTCAAAAAATATTCATCAATATATCGCCATAAATTGTATCTTGTCACAAGGTTCAAAACTGCATTTATTACTGAATAGTTGCTATACAACTTTGAGTGTTCAGAAATTGACTTCCATCTAAAGAACTCAATTATAAAAATCATTTTATACACACATGTGGTTGGTAGATTTAGGATACACCACAGAAACATTAACTTTTTTGTATCTATGACCGCACGGATCCTCGACCAGCCCAGTTGTGCCAAGGAAGCTTCGTTATGCACATTACATGGCAATTGTTGAATACGTTTTGCTATTTGTCTATGTGTCAATTCAAGGGTATCATAATCACATTGTTTCAATGGCAGGATATCCATACCGTATGTCATGGATGGTACCGATATGGACTGGTGTTTATATGATAGAGGTTAAGGTGGAATTTTTTGTGTTTCACACTGCATTGTTAAATGTAGAAAGGTTTTATCTCCAATTTGAAATATGGCATTGACCTTTAAAAAGTTTTATTTATCTGAAGCATGGAATAAAAGATTCATATAGCAGAAAATTTTTTCATCAAATGAAGGACATAGGACCTTATTGCCTTTGAAATCACCTATTTCGGTTGGAGATCAGCTTTTAAACATTCCTTTTTGAAAAGAGTATGGTGAATTTAGGGGGTATCTGCTCTTACATGGAATTGACCAAAATTGGTAGTTATCGTAGTGAAGGGACGAAATGTGTAGATTATCATCTCTAATGTCTCAAAGATTGGCTGATTGACAAAGTGAGCACAAATATGAAAATAAATTTCTTATAACCAGAACATGAATATATCGAGAAGGCTTTTAGACTAATTTTATACTTTTAAGAAAAAATAATTTCTTGTTCTCTCTCTTTACATGTATGTCATATAAAGTACATCTTAAACTATCTAAAAAGATTTTGGTCACAAGGTGGACAGCATGTGGTAAAACCATGTAAAAATCATTTCCAATGAAAGAATAGAATAAGAATTATAATATAAAGGATGTGTATTTCAGCGTCTACCCCTACATGCTACCCTGACAGTGCCTTCGTTACATCTCTCTACTGACAGCCTGGACTTTGGTACCTGCCTAGTTGGACAGGAAAGGCAGATGCAGGTATGTATAACGTTACAAACCTTAATAATCAAATGCAATTTTATAGAATTTAATGGCATCATGTATGAACCATTTCTGTCCATAGTATTGGTTTGCTCAATTTGAAGAACATGTTTTACACTAAAAAACAAAATTTAAATTAAATCCTGCATGTAGCTCAGTGGTAGTAGAACACTTGTCCAATAAGCGAGGCATCATGGGTTTGTTCCTGACTTGATTGGGCTGACTTTTTCACATCAGCCCTTAGCACAGGATTTCACTCTGTTAGTGAATTTAATGCTGAATCTTTTATTTTATGTACTCTATTATCATATACTCTTTCATACTAGGTTGTAATCAACAATCCAACAAGGTCCAGCAGCTTCTGGATGTCTGTACAAGAAGAGAAGTCAGATACTTGTGTGGAAAATACATTCACGATGACACCATCCAGTGGCCTACTCGACGCACATATCACCCATGCCTCTAAAAGCAATGTGCTTGTCAAAGTGCACTTCATTGCAAAGTAAGTCCTGAATAATTTCCAGCGTGTTCTTGCAATATTCACACTTTTAATGTTTGTGTTATAAAATACATTGCCTGCATAAGGGCTAACATCCTCGATGTAGTTTGACTGTTAAATCTATATGAAGTAGTGGTAATCTATCCTGGATATTAGTAATTTAGTATGGTATATTTGAGTAAGAGCAAGTTTTACACGAGAAAACAAAAAAAACGAGAAGCAATCACTTAAAAAGGCCACATCAAAACAATAAGTTAATCGAATGGTTCAATAAGTTAAATCATGGGCTTTCAATTCTATTGAAAGTCCATTGTAAAATATACATATAGATTAAACACATAATTTTCAGTTAATATTATCCAGTTAAACAATTACTTTTTTTCAAAGACAAAACAGTTAATACACCCATAACATATAAATTTAATATTTATTCCAGGCACACAGAGATGTATGAAGCCACATTCTTACTGCATGGGCTTCTGGGAGAGGAACCTAGGCGTCTGCTTGTTAGAGGTCAAGGTTCATACGATGGAAAACATGAAGCTTTTGTCAATCAATAATTCAACCAAAGGAACATTTTGAATGATGAACTGAATGCATGTACATTTTTAAATGTTATATTCCGTCCAATATACATGTATTTTGAACCCTAGAAGGACTGTGATAAGAAAAATATTAAAGATGATTATAAAAAATATCTAGCCTGTTATTTCAAAGTATTATTTATTGTTTAGTATTGATATATTAATATATGTAGCATAATTGCAAATATGTATAAAAGAAAATATTTTTTATTTAAAATAAAAAATCTTAAAAAGTATAAAAAAATTTATATGTCTGTTTTGTGTCAATCTTAAAGGGTGCGGAGTTCAAGCTATGGTGTACAGTGTATGTAAGAGGGGGATTCATAGATGAACAAATTTCTGTTAACATGAACCTCTATATAGATTCATATTACAAATTCTAGGATATTCCCCCTCTCAGTGTATATTATGAAAAACAAAAATACTTTTTGTGAACTGTTTGGCAGTTGGCATGATGGCATCTATCTATAACAAATGGCAGGTTTTGACATTTTGCAAATGCCTCATTGATATTTTGTCATGGCCCCTAAAACTAATGTAAAACTGGTTCGACACCCTTTAATTCAACAGTAGTTGGTTTAAATAAATATGGAATTGAATATGTGCATTTGCACTTGGATCTTCCATAACTGTTCCACAAATAATATATCTCTCATGTTATGTGGGATCATTATGTTCAGCATGATAAATTGAGATCATTCTGTACTGATTGACCAACTGACCAATGATAAATACGATTGATGTGGACATGCTCCGTTGAAACGAATTTTACTTCTAGGTTTGATTTAAAACATAATATTCCAGAAATACATTTTTTATGCATTGTTTATTTACTATTGATATTATGTACACATCTTTGTTATATACAGATTTATATGTACAATATGTAGTGTTGTGTACAATTCACTGTATACAATATTCACTAGTTGTACACAATAAATATTAATCACCCAGTATTTGATATATTCAAAATTTGATACCACTAAAATGGTTTGGCTTCACATAATTAACAGATGATACTCCTTGTATTTTAGAATGTAAAAAAGAAAATATATTTAGCTTCTATATAATGACTAGCTCATTGTTCAATATTGAATTAATGATCATAATTTTTTGATACACTGATCTCAAAGCAAAATTAGATTAACCTTTGACCCATACTGTGATACATAAATATATATTCGGTAGCTCAAAAGGGGCACCCAAAGGTTATGTGGAAAGTCACAGGTTCAATGTCCACTCTGGATGACTCCCATGTAGATAATTTTGGAGCACCATATTCTTTCCTGATAAATAACATGCTGTAGCTAGCTGTACACAATAACACATTGTACATAATATATACAATAACACATTGTATATAATATATACAATAACACATTGTATATAATATATACAATAACATATTGTAAATAATATATGCAATAACACACTGTACATAATATATACAATAACACATTGTACATAATATATACAATAACACATTTTACATGATATATACAATAACACATTGTACATAATATGTGTAATGACATCTTCATATACTGGATCTCAAGTATATCGAATCAGTACATGTACATTAAATGGTTTTGCTTTTATGCATATTATTTATATAATGTCATGTTGGTTAAATCATTTTCATATAACAGACTACTCAGTGCTCTCCCGGAGATTTTTCCTTATGGGTACACAATATTGTAAAATTGTCATTTCATCTTTTCTCACAAAGAAATGACCAAACGGTTTAACTTGGTGCAAGGTGATTTCTAATTCTCAAATGAGTGCAGCACCCAACTGATTCAAAGCTGGGAGGATCCTTGAATATATATATCAAGTACTATACAATTCTTAACTAGTATTACTAATATAAATATTTTATGTGACCAATACCAATCAGAGGTCATACATGTGAGATATAGGTCTCTTGTTATATAATGCCTCTCACTGCATGATGTCATGATATGTAAAGATACGAGAGGGTAATTTATCTTCAGATACAGTCTAATGCCCAGCCATCAGAAACTCCTCAATTAAAGGCGTCTCATACATAAATAGATGTCTCATACATTTGTTTACGTGTTTCTGTGGAGTAGACTCATGTCTGATGTAAAATAGACTCTGGATTTTAGTATAAGAAGCTTGATTAATGTGTATCAAATTTTCAGAAGATAACATTCTTACATAATAACATGATTGGAAAAAACAATTAAAATGTTCGTAAGTTGTCCTTGATGACCTTGAAGTCGACATTTTCTTAAATACTTTGAGGAATAAGAAAATATGGGCGTAACAACAATTCTAACTGACATAATAGCGCTGACAGAATACATGTACATTATGTCAAACAAAAAACATTTAACATTCAAAAGAAATTAACTTCCACCGATACATGTTCATTCATAGTTCCCCTGAAATTTAGGAAATCAAAATTTCATGTCTAATACACAACTCTAGCTCATAAATACCAGCAACACATTTCTCTTATTGTATCCATAAAGTTAATAAAAATTGGATTCTTCTGACCACACCAGGAGTGAATCGAAACTTCACTAAGATATAGAGCCACTGACACATCAATTCATCATAGTGATTGATATCGCATCAACTTAGTGTCAAGGTCATTCATGTATGATGCAATATTGACAATGTTTCCTTGTATTATTTCTACATGACACTTTGGCAACACAGGACATCTGTTTACTTTACAGAACTATCAGGTTCTTAGACTATACTATAGTAGTTTTGGCAAGGGGGTAGTAACTATCCAAAGGGATCCCTGTTTACAGTGAGCACCTTTTACCAAAGAAAATTGTTTTCTGTCATATTTTTTACATGTTATTTTGCATGAAATGAATATACAACGATAGCTGTGATTTCATGTGTAATAAAAGTTATAAACAGATTTGAAAATGTGTGTTTTAATGAAAATAATTGGTAAAATTCTGCTAATAAGCAAGATCGGGCAGTCTGAATCAATGGACTGAATCACCATCTTGATCAATAATAAAACTTGTAGTTTCAAATTGCAGTATTGGAATGGACCTCATTACAATTAAAACACTTCTCCCGACTTCAAGGTGTTCATTATCACATTGTTGTCAATGCGCAGGTATTCTCATGTAAATGTATTCATGTAAAACTGTTTATGTGTTAAGGTGTTCACATGTAGAGGGTACAGGTTTTCCCATGTATAGTTGTTCCCATATAAAGTGTTCACAGGTAAAGATATTCACATGTGCAGATATTCCTTTGTCAAAAATGCGAACATGTACAAATCTTACTGTATCTGATGTACCCCCAACATATGTTAAATTCTATACTGCAGATAATGTCTCCTTTGCTATACAACAGAACAATAACCAGCGCAACCTCCTTGCTGTGATTGACCATCATTAGTTCCTAGTCGCACACCCTCTCTGCCGTCTGTTTCCCATAGGCCAGGGGTCTGTATAATCTACAATGATGATAAAATAACATGAGTCTAAGCTAAATCCCTATAATGAATCATTTCAAACCCAGTTTGTGACATACTGCATTTGAACATACTGCATATGGACAAAAAGCATCACGTAAGTACTCTCAATCATAAGATTTTAGGAGTTGTTCTCAGTGTGACTGAATTGGAAACCAAAATTAACCTAGAACAGGAGATAGGGGTCACTCAGGGTTTCAAAATCATTCAAATCTAATTTTGAGACTTTTTTCATCATCTATAGAAAAATAAGATTACAACAAGGCTAATTCAATTTTGACCAGCAGGTGCCTATATTTTACTTACTTTTTCAACTAGTTCTTCAAAGGCACATTGCACTCCCTCTTTAGTCTTGGCACTGGCCTCTATAAACAACATATGGTGTTTTCTGGCAAACTTAAGTCCTTCATCCCGGCTTACTTCCCTCTTATCCTGAAAATATTAATTGATACATATTAAATATGCACCAGTATAGAGCTACATCCAACATTTTGAACATACAAGATTGTTCATTATTTCAAGAAATGATTAAACATTATGAACATCAGTAAAACCTGTCTAATCTGAACACCACAGGGACCAGGCAAATGTGTTTGCATTGTCAGGTGTTCACATTTCAAGGTTTTTATCATGAGAGTAAGATTAAAAATTGGGACCAAAGGGTATTCCCATTGAGATGTGTTCAGATTAGAGAGGTAATATATATGTTTTATGATAGGAAATTTAATACTATTAATTCTAACTTCAACAATTAATCCTACCTTGTCTATTTTGTTTCCGACTAACATTTTGACGATTTCATGTTTGGTTGCGAATGTTTCAAGCTCACTCAGCCAAGCATCTAGTTTAGTAAAACTCTGTTTACTACTCACATCATACACTGAAAGATCCAGGGAAAAATATGGAATCATCTGATTTCTAAACACCTTTAAACTCATTACAAAACATTGGTATAACTGACAGCATTATGGTTTGAGTTTTGTGATCTATAATATACATGTACAGTTTAGATGTCAACTTTCAAGAATAATTTTATTTAACTTGCCATAATTGTTAAATGTATGCATGACTGTATCTGATACTTTTGAAAATTTTATTGCGAAGTAAGCATAAAAACTTCTTACTGTAAGATAAAATAAATAAATACTCTAAGCCTGATCATATTCACTTTTGATTAAGTTGCAAAACTAGATCTAAAATCACATTCATTATTGCTCTTGAGTGATCAGCCGCCATTCTGAAGGATATACTAATATAGAGTAGGTACCTAAGATGACTCCCTGGGCACCCCTGTAGTAACTTGGAGTTAGTGTTCTGAACCTCTCTTGACCAGCAGTATCCTAGAAGACAGAAACAATTCAGTTTAGAATATAAGTTTTCTTTTTAGAAAAGAATGAACTAACCTGCGAAGAATTCTTACTGAAATCGTAATTGTTATGACAATAAGTTATCAGAAGAGAATTTTACTGCCAAGTCTATGAAGGACACCCATATGAGGATTTTTGAACACATTTTCAATGGAACAAGGTATATTTTTTTATATACAAATCCATTTGGGGATGTGACTTGAATAGTGGAACTACATCATAATGTAATTATAAAGGGTTTTCAATGATCATCCAAGATTTCATATTACCTTGTGTTATTCATGTTCTAGGCACAGAATGGATATGATCATAATTCATTATCATTATTATTCTTAATCAATCGTGCAATTAACTACATTGGCTGTTGGAGGAAAACTCACCCATATTGCTAGCTTAGCTTTATTTCCATCAACTGAAAGAGTTTTTACTTTAAAATCCACACCTATAGTTGCAGCTTGCTCTGGATCAAATGTGTCATCTGTGAAACGGAGCAGTAAACTGTAAGATAAATAACAATTTTACAATTGGTAAAGGTGAAAGTCAATTTCACTAATCATCTCCGCTGTTAAGAAGAAATATGTTTTTATGCTGATTGAAACATTCTCATGGGTGTGTGGCATTGAGACCTGGGGGAAATTTTCCACAAAATGAATTTTTTGGGGTTTTCGAACTGTGCAAGAGAAATCAGCACTGAATAAATTGCTTGGAGATTAAAAATATTGAGTTGGAACCCTGAGAGCCAATGAGAACACACCATTGGTTCGAATCCCAAAGGTCTGAATCCTATTGGTCATAATCTCAATCATCCAAATTCCATTGGTCTGAATCCCATTGGTGCGAAACCCAATCATCCAAATACCAATGGTCCGAATCCTACCGAATATCGCTTAATTCTAATACAAGTTTAAAAAGATGTAAGAAAAGTTTGAGCATGGAATAAAACTTCATGTTGATGTGTGATTATTGAAAAAATTGATTCCAGATTTAGCCATATTTATTGGAAATATTAATTCTAGCATTTTACACTTTGTATTTTTTGACTCCATGTTAACATAAGGCTTTATTTCTGATTGTAGCCCATGTTGCTTTTATAAGAGGTTGTTACGAATTTCAATTTTAAATGTCATTTCAACAAATAGTCTCTCTATATCTCTGAAGCCATATCCATACTATGATCAGGTTATCGAATTGTACAGGGTTTCCATAAAGTCGATTACAATTACAAAACAAATGCTGTGTAAAAAGATCTTATAGACATTAGACACCCTGTATATTAGGCACAGATACTAGAATTCTGTGATTCCGCGTTGCAGCAGATAAAATGCAGAATTTGGGTTTTCAAATTCTAAGCAGAATTATAAATTTTCGAACAGAATTTTGTGGAAAACTTGATTTTTCCAGTCAACTACCTCATCTTAAATTTGTCACTCACCTTGAAACTTCCGGCTTTAGCAGTAAAGATTATGTCTAATATCATATGTCACGAAATTTGAACTCCCTGCAATTTTGTGTTAGTTCAGATGAAGCCAAATGCTTGCAGAATTTATCACAGAATACACGATTTCATGCAGAATTTGGCGCAGGATTTGACTTTTTCATGCAGAATTTCTGTGCAGAGTTTGCAATTTATCTCATGCGGAAAACTACGATGTGTGATTAGGGTAGACGGTCATGCTCAATAACTCTGAGTTCAATTGTGCTGTGTCTGTTCTGTTCTGTTGTGTTGAGTTGAGTTATTGCAACTAGTAACATACAAAATTAGCTGAGACACATTACATGTTTTCTTTACTAATGCATAACATTACGGAATTTGATATGGGACGCTTGACGTTGCAACATGCGAAAGTCTCTGCTGCGATTACCTTGTAACATTTAAGTTAGCTTTACATGAATCAAAGACACCATTTGAAAACTCCATTGAGTTCAATGGAAAAGTGTATGTTTTACAGTAAAATTTTAAATGTCTGTGAGTATTTTGAATTTAAAAAATAAGCAATCAAATGACCAAATTGACATGGCTGAAACTCCCTAAATTACAAAAGACCACAGCTTTGCTACACATTATACATTACTATCTGAAATATACAAAAGTTAGGATAAATATAAATGTTTCTATTTTTACATAAACTGTTTCAATTTGGTCATTTAGATTGCTTATTTTTTAAATTCAAAGTACTCACAAACATTTAAAATTTTACTAGACTAAGGTTTTCGACATCTAAAAAGTTACTCGACTTTTTTGTGATTTTGAATCACAGAAAGCATTCTGAAGTTTCAAATTGGCGCCATGTTTAATTTTTGGCATTTTTTTGATTCTTTCATAGGTTTCGTCATAAACTCAGTTCGACCAGAAGTATCTTTGTTGCCGCTCGATTTTTTGAAAAATGTCCCTTTTCTAATCACCCGGATGTGCGGTTTACTTGGACTCGTCCAAAACGAGGGGTGTCAAACGCAAGATGGTAGAGATGAAAACATGTCGCCACTCTCAGAGAATCTATTCCATAATTTCAACATTACTACGCTGTTTTACAAGCGAAAAAGATAAGGGCAGGTTGTATATAGGACTGGACAAGATGAAAATAAATATTCTAAACAGATGACACCCCTTTCGAAATAAGATGAACTGAACCTATCACATGACCGATTTCGAAGAAGAAATTACATCAGAAAAACAAAAGCTCCGAAGAGAATTTTCGCTTGAAATGTTGAAAAGCAAGCCCAGTTTTCTATGGGAATATACCCTAATTAATAGTTACATGTACTGATATTACTGAGTTTGATGGTGCATAAGTTAGGCGGTAGATCATTTTGTAAGTACGACAATGTGAATTCATGCGACTATTACTTTTTGGAAGTTTTTTTGCAAAAAAGTAGAGTAACTCTTTAGATGTCGAAATGCGACTATTACTTTTTGGAAGTTTTTTTGCAAAAAAGTAGAGTAACTCTTTAGATGTCGAAAATCTTAGTCTATAGATAGACTACACTGAGATAAATGTTATCATGCAAAGACTTTTTATCATGATATTTCCCTGTGGTCTGTAAGAAAATATCATATCGACAATTTAGATTCGGATATATTAAAACTCAGATGATTGGGATTCGGACCAATAAAATGTCGGTCAATGGGTCGACCCCGACCAAATCCTCTCAGACTCAGGACTGAGCTGAGCAGTGGAGAAAATAAAAAAGTTCTGATGAGTATTTCTGACATATTGAGACGTACCTTGACTTCCCTACGCCACTCTCGCCTATGATAAGTATCTTCAAAGTTGTGAGAACTTGATTTTCCTCCATATTAGCGATGATATTCGTTTAAAAAACAGTTTTTCGTGAGAAATACGTAGGTAAATTTTTTTTCAGAAAATATAAATGACGTCACTTCTAGTAACAGAAAGCAACCACTTTAAAACATTTCAAATTTATATTCATATCGATATAAAAAATATACAAATTAAAAATTTAATCATATAATTAGATATAAAATTGAATCAAAATATTTCAAAATGTAAGATTTTTCAAAATGATTAAAAAAATCATAATTTATATTTTATCCACTACCTTGTCAATTCAAATCATTTCCGGTTTGAAAAAAGCGGTATTTTCGATTTTTTATTTTGTTTCCAATAGAGGAGATTGTTGCCTTGTCGACTGAGTTTTTCAAGAGGTCAGATCAACATACCCAACTGTGGTAAGTTGAATTTATCATTAGGGTAGCTGCTTTATATATATGTGTTACTGTGTCTAAAACTGCTGACTGACTGATTCAGAACATTTTCTTTATTTTTGAACTTTCGTTTGGTTGTATGATGGGCTATTTCACTATTTGGAGTGTATTTGAGCCTATGGAAAGGGGGTTTTGTAACTTTAACACGTCAGATGGTAATACGTTTTCACGTCATTTGTTACTAATCAGAATTACTTTCACGTTTCACGTCCTTGATCATCAAAATATTACATTCACGTATCACGAAGATTAAATATAATTACATTCATGTTTCACTGGCGTTAAATAAATCGCTAAAATCAAATTCTCACTATCAGTTATTAATTAAACACGCATGAAATTTCATGTGCTGCCATAGGCCACCATTAATTTTTTTGCATCAAGGGCCGAATAGGTACGGACGTGAAACCTAAGGCGGGCCACAAAATATGTCAGATAAGAAATAAGACCCAGACTAAGTTTAACTTGTTGAACTAATGCAAATCTGTGTTATAAACATGATAGCTTCAAATAAATGTTATAATAACATTTCAAAAAGAATCATATAGGACAAAGAGGTGTAATGTCGACACTTATCCCGTGCCAGGACTATAGTCCTGAGAGCGTCTCAATCTTTTGCCTGTATGATTACAACATGGGAGAATTTTCTACGCCTCTTACACTTAAGATACCTATGATTAATCTATGTAAAATTATAGGGAGTCTGGTTACTTTCGAGATATCAGCATTCATTTATTGTAACTTGCATTTGCTACCATTCTAAGATGACTGCCACTGCATAGTAAACATGTCCACATGGGCACTACTTTTGACCTACACTTTAAAACATTTTATGGACTATAAGATCACACCTTATAAACCCAATTTCTCAAGATAATTGAGTTTTCACTGTGACCAAGCAATATGATGATTATCCCACCAAACGAAGTTCGAGAGGGATATAGGAAAGCCGTCCGTCTGTCCGTCCGTTCGTCCGTCTGTTTGTCCGCGCGATAACTTAAATACCGTTTCACGGATTTGATTCAAATTTTATAGGCTTATGCCTTATGGGTGTAGGACCTCTGCTCGAGAAGGAATTTTCAATATGGCCACTGAATTCAAAATGGCCGCCATTTTTCGTAAAAAATGTAATCTTTAATAACTCAAATACTAGTTTGCAGATTTGGTTCAAATTGTATATGCTGATGCCTAGGGACAAAGAAGTTTAGCACAAAAAGAGATTTTCAAGATGGTCGCTTAATTTCAAAATGGTGGCCATTTTTCGTAAAAATATGTAATCTTTGATAACTCAAATACCAGTGAACGGATTTGGTTCAAATTTTATATGAAGATGCTTAGGGACACAGTAGCTATGTTCGACAAAACATTTTCAAGATGGCCGCTTAATTTCAAAATGGCGGCAATTTTTCATAAAAAACGTAATCTTTGATAACTCAAATACCAGTGAACAGATTTGGTTGAAATTTTATATGATTATGCCTAGGGACACAGTAGCTCTGTTCAAGAAATTATTTTCAAGATGGCGGCTGATTTTCAAGATGGCGGCCCATATTCATAATAAAAAACGTAATCTTTGATAACTCATATATCAGTGAACGGATTTGGTTCAAATTTTATATGCTGATGCCTAGGGACAAAGGAGTTTCGCACAAAAAGAGCTTTTCAAGATGGCTGCTTAATTTAAAATGGCGGCCATTTCTCGTAAAAATATGTAATCTTTGATAACTCAAATACCAGTGAGCGGATTTGGTTCAAATTTTATATGATGATGCTTAGGGACACAGTAGCTATGTTCGACAAAACATTTTCAAGATGGCCACTTAATTTCAAAATGGCAGCAATTTTTCGTAAAAAACATTATCTTTGATAACTCAAATACCAGTGAACAGATTTGGTTGAAATTTTATATGATTATGCCTAGGGACAAAGTAGCTCTGTTCAAGAAATTATTTTCAAGATGGCGGCTGAATTTCAAGATGGCGGCCCATATTCTTAAAAAACGTAATCTTTGATAACTCATATACCAGTGAACGGATTTGGTTCAAATATTATATGATGATGCCTAGTTCACAATGGTATAAACTAACTTTGTGCCAAATTTCATGCTTCTATCACAAAGTACACAAACATTTCAACATTTACACTAGCTATAATAAGCATAATATGTTTTGTTCGGTGGGATTTGCTACTCCGTGGAGTTGCTGTTTTTCTAGTTGAAAAATATTTTATCAAATCAATCATCATAATCATGATTGATTTGATAAAATATTTTTTATTGGTGGGATTTGCTTCCCCACGGAGTTGCTGTTTATCTAGTGTTTACAAGACAATCTGAACAATAACAGAGAAACAAACACAGATGCAAGAGCAGACTATTGCCAAGATCTGATTAGGTTTTGGGTATGCTGGCTGAATTACATGGTGGCCATTTTGAATTTTTCAATTTGGTGGCCATTTTGAATTTTTCAACTTGCTCCAAATTGACCAAATTTTTAAAAAAAAACATCTACAAGTTCTCAAAAGTTCAAATCTGACCTTAGATTTCAGATTTGACCTTTCGTTGACCTTCAGTGACCTTGAAAAGGTCAAAAAGTTGATTTTCTAAATTGATATTTTTGATTTAAATTTAGGTCAGCTTAATTACAAAAGACCTACTGGGGTCTGAAAAAGTGAAATTTTCAAGGTTGAAGGTCATCAAATTAGGTCACAAACAATGTTATCTAAATTTTCCCAAAGTTCAAGACTACAAATAAATTCTTGTCATCAAAATTGCAGGAAAACCGCTAAGGCCATAAGAAGTTGATTCTTTGTTTTGCGTCCTGGTAAAATCCAAATCTTGCAAGGGTACAAGGAAAACAAACACAAATTAAAAAAAAAACAAAAACGCTTGGTTGCTTGTCCCATCATCATGGAAAATGCATTATTTTGCTCTGGGCAGGGTTTAGTCTCCTCTATTTCAAATTCAATAAAGGTTCCAAGCTTTGTCATTTTTTCAATTGTCAAGTGTAGTGGTATTTCAATCTTTGTCTCCTTGGGTGATGAGCGAACAAAGCAACGCACAGTCTGGTCTGAAAATGAGAACAGAAAAAATTCTAATAGAAGTGTATACCTAAATAAATAAACGTAAAAATGTGTGTTGTTCTTATGTATGTGTATGTATGTATGTTTGTAATTTTCCACCACCCTACCCTAGTTCACCACCTTTAAATTTTGAAGTTCAACAAAAATGCAATTGGCGCAATTTACGACTCCTAAAATAAATGAAGAACAATTTCCAAGCTGTGTATCATTTCCCTTGGCCGTAAAATCGCGAAATTCGATATTCACTCTATTATCGCCCACAAAATTTCTGCATGTTTTGCGTGAAATTTTCTGGTTTGCAATTACGTGATCTGTTGACATAAGACAAACTATGAATTGTTATTTATACCTAGTTTGCGATCAACTATTTATACAGGTATTCATGATCTCTATTGAACTACGAATTCAGACAATATGTCGGGGAACGGCTCTTGAAAAAAATCTGTCACCAAAAAGACGACCAGCGTTTCCACTATAATATCGATCGAAAACATTTATTTTAGTCTTCACATGAATGAATTTCAATATATATTTGAGAAATAATTGAAGTGGGTGAAAATAGGAGAGAATGGAAGATCGATCCTAATTCAAGTCTGAAAAGCCTTGCCTAGCCTACTGTAATGACCCGACTTGGTGTTGGCGGTTTAACGAGCGGTAATTAAATTGTCAGATCACCACAATAAAAATATTCTAGGGTTCACATGTAACGATCAAGTTACTATTGTGTTATAGCCTTGTCCACAGCAGCCTTCTGCAGTGGTTGGATTGAATCATCTTTTACAAAGTTCAAAAGATGGCAGCACTTGAACAATATGTCATCTGAATGACATAAAAATAGATGGCAGCATCTCACTATGCTCAGCCCATAATTGAACATAAGAAAAGCATGTAAATTTCTATAAATGTAAAACAAAACTTATTTATTGATCCTTTGTACAAAAGTGGGTATTTATCTAACTGTATATGAAAAAGTTAAATCTAGAATTATCGTGAAATATAAGAGGAGGTGGTATTTGCAAGAGTAGCGGCATTCCGCGTATTCCTAACGATACTAGTGAGCACTTTATACAAAATATTAAGAACTGACAACCACAGTCTGTTAACTGTGAACAATGAAAATCATTTGTTTGGCTCTATATGAAAACCTAAAGCAGACTTCTGCCATTTGAGCTTATGTCCAAATAAAAATGCAAGATCCTCAAAATGAAATAACAATTACTGCCACTCTATTAACCTCAGAATTTATGCACAGAATACTAGCAAATCACAAAACAGAGAACTACGTATATACTAAGATATGTACATTAGAATTTATGCACAGAATACTGGCAAATCACAAAACAGAGAACTATATACTAAGATATGTACACTAACACTAAACCTGACCCAGCCCATTGCCAGGTATGGTCAGTATATACTGACAGGTATACTTTCAGTCTATACTGACAGGTCAACTTTTAGTCTAGTTTCAGTATACTTTCAGTATATGTCCCATGTTAGGATTCCATTGACAGGTATGTTTCAATTATGGTAATTAGACCTACCAGTATGGTTTCAGTTTACTTTCAGTAT